CTTGATGTTTATAGAGTGAGTAGATCTGTCATTTATGCATGTGACATGTGATTTCTAGATTGCTTGAGTCACCTAAGTGCAAAGTATCTAGAAAACAAATTGCGCTGATAAAAGGTGGGTTAATGCAGCAGCAGTACTGGATATGATACCTTCACTGAAAGTTAGTCCTGACTTGTTGCATTTCAGCATAGCCTTTTAGTTCAGAAAATAGGGATTCAAACCAAAATCAACTATGCATACATATTTGCACTAATAAGGTATTTGTGTAGTTTGTTATCTGTAATTGATGTGTTTTAAAACTTCTGTTTCACTTTGTCATTTCCAGGGAGACAGAGTTGTATTGTTTAGCCAATTTACTATGATACTGGATATCTTAGAAGTTTTCCTCAAACAAAAGGAACATAGATACCTAAGATTGGATGGAAAAACACAGATTTCTGACCGGTATGTGACTTTTTTTGCTGAAGATGAAAGGGAAAAAAATAGATGTGTGAATGGGGAGGGGAGGGAAGAGAAGGGTGTGTGACTTAAAACCTTTGCTTTGGTTTTGCAATGTGTAGAATTTTGTGGTCACTGGCCATTAACTATAGAAGGGGTTATATATAACGAGGGATTGTGCTTGATTTCAGATCGCCTTAGTAAGGATGAGGCAGAAAGGTGAGTTTTAAATGGTTGGGTTACAGTCTCGGCCACCAAAATTCAGAACTTTAGTCTTCAGCAGTTCATGGCATGTATGATTTGCTTCTGTACGGCATGCCATAACAAAAGCTCACTTGTAGATATCCCTTGGAAGTATAGTGTATACCTGTTACAATAGGCATACAAACCCGTTTTTTTCTCTAGGACAAACCATTTACTCTGTCCTTTGCAGCTAAAAGTAGTGCAGTGCTTTTCTTTGAGGTGTGCTGTTTTTCTGCTGCTTCCTGATTTTTTTTTAAATGTTTCTTAGGTGCTCTTTTCTTCATTTCATAAAACCCTTGTTACTCCTTGTTACTGCTGTGGTATTACTTCCTACTTACATCTGATGTCTGTTACTTCCCTTGTGTATGCAATTAGTACAGAAGACAGTCATGAAGCTAAATTCCTCCCCTCTCACCATTTGCTTCATGTATTTCAACCTTCCCTTGTCCTCCAGCTTGCTCTTTGTGTTCTGTGGTCATTCAAAATCTTTTTCCAACCCTCTTTTCATTCTTTGCTATTGATCTGTTATTCTGAGTATGTTTCTCTGGTCACTGCTGAGGACTATTGGTACCCTTTTTCCTTCTGCATAACATCTGTACTTTTGGGCTGCTTTGCAATGCTACTCTCCTCCCTTTCAGAAGATCATCATCCTAACTACTCGACTCTGGAGCCAGTGTAGTGGTTTCTCTGGCCTCATATATGTTTTCTTGTGTTCTGCAGGATACGTCTAATCGATGAGTTCAATAACAATAGCGACATATTTGTATTCCTCCTGTCAACCAAAGCTGGTGGATTGGGAATTAATCTGACCTCGGCAAATGTTGTTATTCTTCATGACATTGACTGCAACCCATACAATGACAAACAAGCAGAGGACCGATGCCATAGAGTAGGACAGACAAGGTAAGACTTTTTAATTGTAATGCTTGACTTTTCTTGGAGGCAAGTTCTCAAAGGAAGCTAAGAGAACAATATTTAATGATTAAAAAGGCATTTTTAAGCAGAGATTTATGTAAACCAGCTCTGGATTGTGTGGGAGCTAGGTAATTGTGTCTCAGCATGTGTTGTGGCCAGAATAAACTTTATTTACATTCTCTCCTTATTTTTTCTCCAGTTCTCCTGACTCACAAATTCTCTATAATCCTCAAATTTGCGGTGGTAAGAACTATTTCAAGGCAGATCTGAGGTCTTTGAAACTGTTTGGCACTGCTCGTTGTTCTCTTTGGGAGACTTCTAAGCTCTGAAGAGTGAAACCATGGACTATTTTAGAGTCCTCTGTCAGAATAAGCTGATGTGAGAAATAAAACACATTTAATAACTGGTATTTGTGTAGTATAGCATGAGAGGGAAGTTGTTTCTGTTAATGGAAATTTTGGTGACAGCCCAGACTTATGGTGGCTGGAGTGCCGGAGAAAGCAAGTTTTCTGGCAGTGCAGAGCACAGTTGGTCCAGACAGAAAAAACAGGAGCTTTTTCTATTGCCCTTTTGTTCATTTCCTCCTTGTTTTAAACTGAGCTGAGCAAAGGCATAGCACCCCTTTCTCTTACACTAATCCAAAGAAACTGTAAAAATTGATTCATCCTATTTTGTGGTTTTCAGGGAAGTGAAAGTCATAAAGCTAATCAGTAGGGGGACTGTTGAAGAATACATGCTCAAAATCAGTGAGGAAAAACTGAAGTTACAAGAAGATATGACTACAGCAGATTCAGGTAAGTCTATTGCACGTAGTGATGCCCACTTAAGTGAATTAAGGTTGTTGCAATGTTATTATTCTGGGAAGGAGAGGGGAAGAAAAAGTTTTTGATGCTGACAAGCCTTTTTTTTTGCCCCAAGTTAAATAAACTAGAAAGATGCATTTGTGCTGATGATTGTGCAGTTTGACAGGCAATCCCTCTGAGTTTGACCCACAGATCAATGACAGACTCTTACAAGTAGAGGATTTCATACAGGCTTGGGGATCTAGACTTTTGTGTGTGTGAAACATTTTGAGCTCTGCTAACCCTTGTTCCTATTTCCTAGGAGAAGAAGGAGCCATTCCAGCAGATATAGCCACGCTATTGAAAGCTTCATTAGGTTTCTAAATATGCCGTGAAATTTGAGGAAGAAGGCAATATTTTACTCCATGGACTCTACATTTCTGAATAACTTGAATCTTACTTACTTTTATAACTTTTGGTAGCTTATTATAATTATTTCATGTTGATGAAAATTTTTAACCCCAGTAGCATTTTTTTAATGCTTAAGAACATTGTGCCAAATGTGCCAACATTGGATGCTGAAAAAACATCTTTTACAGATTTTCAGAATGGGACCTGTATGGTCATCATTTCAATAAATCTGCTACTGTTTAAAATCTGTCAGTATTTTTATAATTATTTCTACCTCCAAATACATATATTTAAACTGTCAGTTGCACTGGATTACACGTATAGATTTTTTTATGTGCCTTATTTGACAATGCTCGACATGTCAAATACTAGACATGAGTCGTTTGATGTACCATTCTGTCTTTGTATCGACTTGCTCAAATAAAATTACACAGGTTAACCAAACGTTTCATTTTGTGGTTACTGGGGGAAGGGGAGAGGGAGAATAATTTGTATTTATAAAGCAAATAGCTTTCAAACTAGCTGAAATGTTCCATTTGAACTGATTTGGCTTTATCCAGCAGTAATTAATTACTAATGTTTCATCATTCTCCAATCACAGTTGTTTTAATGATACTGATGATAAAAGCAGAATTCCTGCCGAATGGACTTTCCATCCAGGTTGCAGGGTTTTTTGTCAGTCCTTGGTGTAGATACCAGATCTGTGTTCTGACAGCGAAGTGCCTTAAACACAAAGCGTATTTCTTGCTCTTCTCTGGAAATTTCAATGAATTTTTAATTCATCTCAGTGAAATGAAGAGCTTCAGTGCTATCAGTGGTGAGGTGTGCCTTCAGCCAAAGTTTATAATCTCCTGGCAAGGATGTGATTTGAGGAGGTAGGAGAGAAGGATGTCCATTTCCTTGGACAGTGGAAGAGACTGAAATTCAGTCTTTTGAACCCAGGAGTATTTAAGATTTAAGACTGCTGCTTTTTTTAGAAGCTGGGGAAGGCAAAGTGTGGGGAAGTTCTTATTGTCACGGCTCTCTGTTAAAGCCTCAGCTGCTGTGTGCTCTGCGCAGAGCTCAGTAGTTTGTGTGGTGTTGCGATGTGATATGTGCATATAATCAGTTAATGTAGTCCGGCTGAGCAGTGGTTACTCCTTAAACAATCTCTTAAGGGGTTTTAAGAGATTGTAGAGTCACCATACTTGGAGATACTCAAAAGCTGCCTGGGCACAGTCTTGCACAGCTGGCTGTAGGTGGCCCTGCTTTAGCAGGGAGTTCAGACCAGATGCCATTGAGAGGTCCCTTCAGCCTCAACTGTTCTGTGGTTCTTTGTCCGCATGGAAAGATGTATAGGAGAAAAAAGAAATAATGCAGCTGTCTGAAGTCTGTTGAAGAAGAGAGTGGGAGCTGAAGAAGGAGAAATCTCGAGAGAGGCAGAACAAAGCATGCAAGGAATTGGAAAGGAGGTGAAGATGCCACATTGGAATGAGCAGAAGACCGGACCTTGCTTTCAGTTGTGCTATTACCTGTTTGTCTCTGAACTGTTAGTGGTTGGTTGGTTGGTGTTACTTATATGATTCAATGAAATAATATGGTGAGAGGGAAAAGCAAGTGTGAAGGGAAATACTTTCCCAACAGTGGCCATTTTCAGCCAAGAGGATTGCCCAAGTTTTGTTGTGGCTTATCTGCTTACACCACACAGTGGGGTCCTCTTGCAAGCACTTGTCTCCCCTTGAGTTTGTATAAACCACTTGCATCTACAACCCTCCTCCTTCCCAGGGTTTCCACCTACCCGTTTACCCCAGTGCCAGAACAACAAACCATTCATTCATTCTAAACCTGGTTTCCACCACTGCCCCCCCACCAATTTGTCTTTTTAGTGGAAGAGATAGCTGCTGAACGTTTTGCAGCTGGTGTGCTTATGGAGAACCGGCACTGGTGTGAGTACCAGCTCAGCTGTGCCACTGCTTTTTGTCTGATTGGGGCTTTTGGTGGTTGGTTGTTTTTTTCAGTGGCACAGCACGTGTTTCAGAGAGGCTAAAGAAAGTGCTTTAAGAAGCTTGAAGTTTGTTGGCTAAGGAGGTCTTGGGGTTTTTTATTCTCTCTGTTAATTACCCTGCTTTCCTCCAGAGCAGGAGTCTGCAACAAACAGAGTATTGTTGAGATTGCATCTCTTCAGGAAGGCTTATTCATCTTGTCTTCTTTTGAGATCCCACAGGACATAAATCTGGTTGATGAAATACTTTATTTGTGGGGGGAATGTGGTTGAAACCATACCTCTTCCTCAGGCTTTACTCTACTAAATCAGCTTTTTAGTCTCTTACAAATGGATACAAGTAGTAGATTTTGATTTGGCATAGCCTACCCATCTGAAATTAATTTAAATGATTCTCAAATCAATAACTTAGGATGTTTGTCATGTTGAAAACTAAACATGCATTTGTATTTTCCAGTCTAAAAAGCTGATCTACATTATGGTCTTGGGTCTTTTCTGGATCCAGGCTGCAATGGCTGGAAGTGCTTGCACTCTGTCCCTAAGAGCCAGCAGCCTGGGGTAGTTGTCTGCCAGGTCAGGTTTGCAGGACAGAAGTGTCGTACTGCACACATCCCAGTAGAAATCTGCCCATGTTACCTGGTGGAAACGGGAGAGAAAGCAGTAAATTTTAGTTGCTAATCTCAAAAGATGTAACTGCTGCTGGTAGTATCAGCAAATTGCAGAAATGAAACATGGATTGATCTGATTTAAGGTTTTTTTTAAGCCTATAATTATAGAATGTGTAATTAGGTTGCAGTGCAAGGCTTGATTTAAGTAAAAATTGGTTAAATAAAGCCCTTGTTATGAATATTACTTGCATTATAATATTAATCTTCCCTGCTGAAACTGTGCTGCAGAGAAGTATTTTGATTAGTTTCCAGTTTGAGCAGTTTTGGGTAAAAAAGCAGATTACATTTTCACATTTCTAAACTCCCATCTGTATTGACTAGTACAAAGGCATTTATAATGTTTTTTGTCAACATACTTCTAAACTGCTTTAGAAAATGCAGAACCTAGTCCTGGTTTGCCTCACTTCTCTAATAGTACAGAAAACAGTTTTCACTTTGCAATTCAGTGACCAATGGTGTACTGGTAATAACAAAGAGTTACAAGAGTGAGGGGAATTGTTTCATGGGCTGGAATGAAACCCAGAGATTCAGCAATAGTCAATGCATTTATTTTTCTGGCAACCTGATTGGAATAGAGAAATGAAAACTGTACTTACAGACTTCCCTACTAGCCAAGTGTTATCCCCTAAGAAAGTATCCAAGTCTTTCAGTAACTCGGGTGCTTTGTTTGTGAGGATATCATCAAATGCTTGTTTCTGGGGGATAAACAAAACACAAAGATGCACAACAATGCAGAAGGACAGCAGTTCAAAAAAGTGAATTTTGGGGGTTTCTTACTTGTGAAAAAGGAAGCCAACATCTGAAAAAGGGAGCAATGAAATCATTTGGTCTGACCCAAACTTCAGAAGATGGCCAGTTCTCTTTGGAAGAAGGAATGTGTTAACATCCAAGTCAGGATTAATACAGCAAACTGCAATTATTTAAGGTAAGTAAAGAAATACAGAGGCTACACTGGGATACATGCAATGGGGCTCTGTAGAACTTAGGAAAACTAATAAATTGCCCATGAAGTGGTTTAGATGCCCAAAACACAGCATTTGTGGCTCAGTGAGCCATGACTTAAGCCCCAATTGCTCTGTTATTGCACAGCTGAGAGCTCCTGGATGCTAATACACAAGGTGTGGGATGATGCTGTTCATTTACCTGTGCTAACAGCCATCCAGCTGCACCAAGATGGGAGCCCTGCCATATATTTGGGAAGAATCCATCTATAAAACAGACTCTCAATGTCTCATGGTCTTTTTGGGGACTCTTGGATGCTATGCTTTCTAGTGCACAGGGTCTCAGATTTCCAGAATCCCTTAAGCTCAGTCTTTGTGTGCTGTCAGATGCTGGTCAGTTATCAGCCATTCTCATGGGAGATGTATAACGTGGGTTTTGAGCTTTTGCTGGGTTTATCTCTGGACTTTGCTGTTAGCAGGTTATTCTGCTTTTTTTTTTGTCTTCAGAGCAATGAGATTTGAGGTGGTTAAAATATGTTTTTAAAGGCTGAAGTCTCCACTGAAGCGTATGGGCCTTATTACTTCTGTGTTAATGGATGAAGGATGAGGTTGTGTATAGTGGTGTTTCTCTGCTACCTGTTCCCCACAGCAGGAATTTTAAGGCTGCTTTTAAAGGGTTAGCTGTTTCTTTTAGAGAGGGAAACTGGTTAATTCTAGTAAATTCTACTAGTAATTTTAATGCTAGTACTTCTAGTAAATGCTCCATCCCTGGTGGTGTTCAAGGTCAGGTTGGACAGAGCCTTGGGTGACATGGTCTAGTGTGAAGCGTCACCTCGGGTGACATCATGACAATAATGACCTCTCCCAACTACAGAAGTATGCAGTCAACTAGTGACACTGGTGGGGACAGGACCAGGATCCACCTTCTGGAGTGGCAGGACCTCTTGTCTCAACCCTGGAGCTCTCCAGTAAGGCAAGGCAAAGCTACTGCAGTGCCAGCTATACTTTTTAATGATTGGTGTAGGTGAAGGGAAACTGTTCCTGGCACAAAGGGAGCTTCCACAGGCAGCATCCACCTCTGCTCCCTTTACCTTGCTTGGTTTTCTCTTTTCTGCTGGCCGGGTAGCATAACGCATCCTTTCATCTTTCTCTGAGGGATGTGTGTTCCTGTAAACACTTGTCCTGGACAAATTTTCTGACTCGTGTGTGTATGTCTTTATGAGGCCATGAGACGGGACTTCTACCACAAGGTGGTAGCAGTGGATCCGGGAGGAGAGGGGGAGAACAGCTAACAGCCAAATCGATTCCCACCAAGTAAGCTTCTTGGTCTTCCTCGGCCCCGAAACACTTGCATGCATACGTGCGTACAGGTATATATAAGGGCTTCCTGAGAACTCTCTCCTCTTCTAAATTAGCCAATGGTGACACGATCTGCGTCATTATTTAGGAGAAGTGCTTCACCATGAGCTGGGGCACACGCAAGTTTACGACGGGAGTTTCCCTGTAAAGGAGTAGCAGTAGTGCTGCTTCTACACTAGCATGTTAGCAATAGTGTGGTTGTTCCTAAATGATCAAAAATCATGAGTCAGCCTCCCCTCCCCATATTAGGAAACTTCAGGAAATCGCTAGGAAATTAAGCAATTCATATTTTTGAACACTAAACCCTCAAAATACTCTCAGATTTTCACCTGCAAGATTTCAGAGCCCTTCATATTGTTTCATTATTTATTATTGGTTTTGGGCAACATTTTGTGGTTTCTGAAATCACAGAATGGTTTGGTTTGGAAGAGACCTTAAACCTCATCCAGTTCCAACCCCCTGCCACGGGCAGGGGCACTTTCCACTGGACCAGGTTGCTCAAAGCCCTGTCCAACCTGGCCTTGAACACTGCCAGGGATGGGGCAGCCACAGCTTCTCTGGGCAACCTGTGCCAGGGCCTCACCCACCCTCATAGCGAAGAATTTTTCCCTAATATCTAACCTAAATCTACCCTTAACTTCGAACAAATGGAAGGTGGCTGCACCCATAGTAAATGGTGGGACCTGTTGTTACGCTTTCCTAAAAGCGAAAAGTCATCTGCTCAGGTCAGAGCCATTGTAAGACAGGAGTTAACTCACCCATCACCCTCTTCCCCCAGCAGCTGATCTGCATGCTTGCACTTGGGGCTGTGGTGAGAGAAACTGGACTGATGTCAAAAAACAATCCCAAATGCTGTAGGACTTGCCCGTAACTGTGTGTTGAAGCAGCTGTGGCAGTGTGTTAGCCTGGTTTCAGTATATGCAGAAGCACTGCATAAGGACCAGTGAGGGGCCACGAGGGTCTGAAGAGCAAGGCTGCAGTGACAGTGAGGGACGTGGTACCTCCCCTCTTTAGCAGCACCCATTACTAGTAATTGAAAAGCATTTGTCCCTGGCAGCTGATGTTATTGAAGACTGATGCTTATTAAATTCCATAAGAAATCAAGGTGCAGAAGCACAGAAAGAAAATGGGCTGGAGCTGTTAATCTTGTTGAGTTAGCAGAAAGAGAAATATTCAATCTTAGTCTGCTTGCAACATGATACAGGTATTGCATGGTGTTGGCTGGGGTGGTGTCTGGTCTTTCCCCTTTGAAGTGCAGTTTAATGTATGCACATATGGTGCCCTTGATGGCCTTATTTCCACCAAAGGTGGAAAAAAATCTGAAGGAGAAGGTGGGAGGGAGCAGAAGGCCTTGGCTGGATTATCCAGCTCAGCTTTGCTGAGATGAGGTGATGGACCCAGGGGCTGACACACAGTGTCTCCAGAGGAGATTCTCAGGTATGGAGTCGTGCCCCATGTGGTATTTTTATTTAAACTAGTGATTGTCTTACTCTCACGTCTTGGTTTTTCTCTGCCCAAGGGAACAGTGTCATGAAATCATCAATGGTGTCCACAATGGCATCAGCAAGCGCCTGTTCCACAGGTGTCTGACCTGCCAGACCTGTGGGAAGCAAGCATATGAAGGGACCTTAGAGGTAGCATCGACAGGAATTTCTGATACCTCAAAAGTAAACTCTGGTTTTTGTGAACATTTCCATATACATACATGCTCTCTAGGGGGCATTTGATGCTAACAACATGCATTTGACTCCTTGCTTCCAGGTTCAATCTCATCTACCCTTGCCTTTTTCCCCCCTCCAACTTCACACAGCCATCCAAGGTAGTGGGTTGTTCTTTTCATCACTTGAACCCCCAGCCTGACTTCTGCTTCTTCATCCTTCTCTCTGCCTTCCACTATCCCAGCACATTCAGTGCGGCTCAGCACTAACTCCTTTCTGTTAATCTTTCCCTATCCCAGCTTTCAATGTCCTTCTCCATCTCACGGTCTTTCCCTCTTGGTCAATACAATCTCCTGCTTCTGTGAAAGTCTGCTTCTCTTTCCCTCTCTCCTGCTCATTCAGCCCCATTTAGAATCTTCTTGCTGCACCCTGCTTGCTTTTGATCACTTCATGGTAATCAGACACCTTAGCCTAACTTTGTCTTGTTTACAAATCTGGTTTCCTCCCCTGTTGTCCTGTGGCTTGCCTGCAATCCTCTTAATGACGCTACTTTTTACCCTCACTATCATTTCACAGACCTGTGTTCATGCTTTCACCTCTGTGCACGTTCAAGTCATCTTTTCTCTTCTCTTCTCTTCTCTTCTCTTCTCTTCTCTTCTCTTCTCTTCTCTTCTCTTCTCTTCTCTTCTCTTCTCTTCTCTTCTCTTCTCTTCTCTTCTTTTAGACTCGCTTGGAAGCTCTGTGTTTCCCATAAACCATGTACCCGTCCTCTTCCAAGTCATCTCCCATATTGAAACAATATGCTTTTGAAGGTGAGAGGTGTGCTTCCCGTTTTGGGCATCAAATTCCATGAGCCTTCAGTAAAAAGCTGTTGGTGATGAGCACTGAAAAATGCTATTTCTTAATTTTAAAGGATTGGTGACATATATGCAGACTTAATGGCAGGACTAGCAAGTCTGACTATGAAGCTGAATAGACTCCTTTCCCTTTCCATGCATGCTCTTTGTCTTGCCGTAGCTGACAGTGTGACCAACACTGTCAGGAGACTACAGTGGTCTGAATGTGCTCCAGAACCCTGGCTTTTGTGGCTGTTGCAAGATAATAGTAATGCCCAAGTCAGAAATCCAGACTGTAGAAAGAGCACAGGTCCAGATCAGCATCCCGTCAGGAGGTGGGGAGGGAGGCAGTGTGAGTGGAAGGCAGGCTTTCTCATCTGTTTCCATTACCATGTGGATGCTCATCATTCTCTTCTCTTGCAAGTAGTAGATTGTATCAGGGTTGGAGGAAACCAGCAGGACATGTTGTGCACTGAAGAATAACCCTGTGCACTTCTGCTTGTTTCCTTAGTTGCAAAATGTGGGATATTTTGATAGGTGGGTTATGTCTCTTTGCTCAGAGTATGAAAAAGCAGGAGAGTACTCGTTTCCCAGCCCCAGTCAGCAGTTTGCTGACATTCAGCACACCATGAACACATCTGCCTTCAGCCAGACCAGTTTTGCAGATGGTTTTGAATGACAGCTTGCTGACCTAAAGCAAGCCCTGACTACTCTCTTTGATTACTTGCATTACTAAGTCTTATATCACTTTATCTACCCAGTCGAGTACTTCCCTAACATGTAAGTATTTAAAGATACAAATGATGTCACCATCTGATCTAATCTCTCTGCCAGCTCAGAATTGCTGCCTAAATCTGCTTCAGACTGCTCTGTCCGCTGACTGTGATCATCTCTAATGCTTCCAAAATCTCCTTCTCCTGCTCTCTCTGGTATAGCCTGGCAGCTCAGAGTTTAACTCCAGGGGAAACTGCCCCAAGAGCCTCAGGGAAGCCACAGTTTGTGTTGTTCATGGCACATGAATAAAGCTCATTGTCTGGAGAAGTAAGCCCACACCCCAGGTATTATATGCAGAGAGGAAAGTCAATCAGACCTAAGGGGGAATTTCTGAGTTCTTCTGTAGGCACTTTACACACAGTGCAGATACGGAGCTGAGCCACCTGAGTTTGGCTCTGAACAGCATAGCAGTTCACAATATGGGTTGTTACTTTGAACCTGGTTTTGTCTGTTTTTTTACTTTCTGCATGACCTTTGAGTGACTCCAAACCCTGTCTAGCAAGGCGCCTTGCTCTACTTTTTCTTTCTGACCTTGGAACTGCAAGGGGATGTAGCCCGAGATCTCATCAGGATTGCAACAGCAGTCCCAACCCAGTGAACAAAATTAGCACCAACTTATGGTAAGGAAGGCTGTTGAACATGGACATGACACCACACAATGCTTTTTAAAACCATCACTCTTTGTGTGGCACCTCTGAAAGCATCCTATATGATATGTTGCTTTTCTGTGGTCAGCATTTGGTGCTGACAAACTAAAGATGCAACAAGAATCTGATAACTATTAGCTGTTCGTGCCTGGGAAAAGCCCTAGTACCATTATTGCAACGTTGGTGTTGACTTCTACTTCATTGGGCTTGCCAAGCTGTTGGTTTGTTTCTATTTTTGCTGTGAGTGTATTTTCCCTGAGCTTTAAAGGTGAGTGCAAAACAGAGCAAGAAAATAGTCAAATGTGTTACCTGATTCTCTGGCAAGGTATCTTGCTATTGCCAGGCTCTGGTGAATGGTAACTCCGTCTACTTCCAGAATAGGGATTTTGCCGAATGGAATGCCTTTGAAGAGAAAGCAAAAAACAACCAAAAGTTAAATCACAGCCTTTAATGGTGGGAATCTGTAATAGCTGCACTTTTACCACTTAAGCACTGTTACAGCACTTAACAGTATTTCTGTATGGAAATGCATGCACTAAAATGAAAAGAACTAAGGTTGAGGATATAACCAGATCACACTGCGAGAAGGCAACTATAGAGTAAAAACCAAGTACTGCATTTCCTATTTCCTAGGCTTGTGCTGTAAAGGCTGAATGTGCTCCTACATATCCTAAATTCTTTATGCAGGGAAACTTTTCAGTAGAATCTTGGTTTTTCCTTCACTTCCCTGCTTTTTCCTCCCCAGGAGAGTGACTGCTAAGGTTAAGCAAAGTACTACTGAAGATTTGCATGGTCCAGATGGGGTATGAAGTAAAAGACTGGGTAAAGACTATGGAGGTGCTTTTTCATTTACACTTGTTTTAAATTCAGCAGCAGTGATTCAGAGAAGTATCTGTACTTCAGAACTTACATTGTGACAAGATATTTCACTTGACAGTCATCACCAAGAGACAAATATATCCTTCATATTGAACCACAAATGTTAAGATACTCAAATTTAATTGACTTGGCTTGAATGGAGAAGTCACGGGGGAGAAGCCTCACAGAGAAGAAGCCTCCAGACTTCAAGATTAGGGGAAGACAAACTAAGCAGCTGTCGTGGATATCTGTAAGATCATGGACAGAGTTTGAGATAAGAAATCAGTCATACATTTCAGTTATTGATTTAGTAACATAATGTACATGAAAACTTGGACTGCTGTTTTTGCTACGCTTTGGAGAAGCTGCTGGTGTGGTATCAAATGGGGATGGAACATCTGAGCAAAGCTTAAGCTGGGAAAAACTGTAGTGTTTAAGGCAGTGAAATCCGCTCATGGGAACCTGGTGCTGTTCACCAGAGGAACTTTAAATCTCTGCATTTCAAGGAAAGTTACTTCATACATTCCAAGCATGTGACTGCGAGTGCTGGTCACAGCCTAATGCTTTGTACCTGATTTTCATCTGGATTACACTTTATGTATGTTCATCCTAAGACTGTAAAAGGACAGTAGCAGAAAAATGAACATGTTGACCATTGGAAATGCGCAAAGAACTTTCCAGGAAAACTGTCTTTACGGGACAGATGGAATGACACTTCTATTCCCCGAGTGGGTTTTAGTTCTTAATGAAAAGTAATAAATAATGAAGCCTCATGTATCTGTATTGTGTTTAGCAAGCTGACTTCATCAATGATGAACACTGCCACGTGGCTCTGTCGTTTAGCATGCAGTGTGTGAATCACATCAGTTACAAGATCTTAGATGCCAAATCTGTATCTGCAAAATGAATTTGGCAGCTGCATAAGAAATCCAGGACTCTTTTGTGCAATTTTTTTCCCCTTGCATCTGAACACACTACTCATGATACCTTTTATCCCTCTTCAGTTCAGCACACTGTGAAGATTAAATTTTGATACTGATGACTAGAAGAAGCAAGAGACTCGAAGAGCATTAGCTGCTGTACCCCAGGGAGAAAATGTGTACTGCTACTTGTTATTGAAACAATAATAGACATATTGCACAGAAGACTTCATATGTTTATTATCTAGTGAGCAGCAAGGCCCTGGCAAGTCCATGTATTGCTTCACTGAGAATCCAGAGAGAAAATGATGCATTGCTGAAGGCTAAACTGAAAAGCTTTCTGGTTGTGAAAATGAGATGAGCCTTGGTTCTGTGCTGTGGATTAATGGTGCAGAATGCCCTAAGCATCACTGCCCCCAAAGCCGCAAAGCTGTGATGGAACATTTGCTTATGCAGGATACCACCACATCTTTCAAGCAAGTGTGAGTAGAGGGGATGAGAGCGTGCGTGACTGCTGGAGGTGCCAGCATGGCAGCCTACAGACACCTTCAGATCCCCAGACTACACAGGGCTGTACACCAATGTCTGGCAGGAGGTAACAACAAAAGCACATCCAGCTCAGGAGCAATAGCAGCCACCCCTGACAGAGTTAACCAGCCTTTTCAGAGGCCTCCGTAGGAGTGCCACAGGCTGATGTAGCTTTGGCTAGGTCAACTAAGCCAGTGACTAAGCCATCCTCTGTGGCAATAACTGTCTAAATGACGATTGATGCTCAGGTTGGGAAACTATGGTTGCTTCATCTAGAAACTGAATAGAACATTTCTGCTGTGTTTATATATAAGTCTAAAAGCCACAACTCTGTCTGATGTTTCACTTTATCAGTTGCAACAAGAAAAATGAAAGATGGTTTGTTTGTGTAGATACATTACTGCTTAAGAAATCTTTAGAGCAAAAGGAGGGAGGCATCTTTTTGACAGTTGAAGAATATGGATTAAGGTGTGAAAGGCAGCTGGGTTGCAGGGTGGTTGTAATCTCTCATATTCTGTTTCTCAGGAATCTGACCATTTCTGGATTCACTTTTTTTTTTTCCTAGTAGTTGACCGAATTAAAGAGAATTGCTATTCATTCCTTGAAAACTTGAGTAGTGCCTACAAAATGCTTCTTCCTCAGTGCTGAGCTATTTTCGTTAAGATCTTGTTACTCTTTCCTGTAAAACAGAGTTTACAGTTAAAAATACAAATACAGCTTTGTTTTGTGTGCATTACAAATACTCATACACTTGCATGATTCATAATGGAAGTCTAAAATTAATAAATGAGAGTGTACTTTATTGCACATTGTCCCATGAGACTTACGTTTCCAAAAGGCGTTATGCTTTGATTTATAATGAAGCTTGGGTAAATGGGAGATGTTTCTTCCTTTCTTGTGTGTTCAGAATGCCATTTGATTTTTTTCTTATAAAGAAAAGGGGGAAAAATTGTGATTTCAACATAAGCCAGTGCTTATGCGCACTTGTGCTGCGCAGATCATTGTAAAAAACATTGTTTTTTCTTGGGTTCAGGGTGCACTGTTCTTGCACACCAGAAAGCACAGCAGATACCCAGGCTGCTTTATAGCTGAAGAAAATAGCAAAGAACAGTCAAGGAACAGAAAATATTTATAGTACATCTCTTCTCTCTTAGGCAAAAAGGTATAATGGCTTATAAAGTTGCATTTTCAGTCTGGAAAAGTTAGGGAAGGGAAGGAATCTCTTTGCCTTTGAAGCTTTATTACCCAACCTTCATGTATCAAGACCGAAGTTTTTAGTAACCTGCAGTGAAGTATCTCTTTGCTCTTCTAACTCAGAAGAACAACTTCCTATATTGATAAATTCATAGCAAAACCAGAAGATTAATTGATTCCCTGTGAAAACTTGATACTTCCTTTGCCAAGTGGAGAAGAGGGGGGTGGATTTATATCACACAGTTCATCCTAAGGCAGGATGTGAAGAGCCTTCAGGATGGATGGGTGCAGTTTGATTGCTGGAGGCAAGGTCAGGGTTTAACAAATGCCCTCGATGTGACCTGTAGACATCTTGCCTGTAGCCACAGCCATCTACACAAGGGCTCCTTGTGCACAACAGAAAGCCATATCTCTGTACATAAATTTGAGCCGTGTTACCCTTAAACTCATTGATATAGGCTTCTGTGGCTTGCTTTGAGTCTCCTGTGGTGCTTTTCACCCCAGCTCTGCTCACTGACAGCATATGTTCAAAAATCCTCTGGGCATGGCCAAATGTGCCATGTGTATAAGCATTGTACCAAAACTGCTAATTTTTACATGGTTTTGATGAAAGAGACGGTTTGTGTGACTCCAGATGAGCAAAGCATACAGGTTCTTTCCTGCCAGGCTCCTGCTTTAGGCAAGCAAGTGAAAGAGGTGCTGCACGAAACTGGAGTGTGAGAGGGATCTCAACTGGGGAGAATGAGGTTCTGGGGGCAAGTCATGAAACAACATGTATCAGAAAGCAGTCATGAATGAACAGTTAAGCCAGAGTAGTGCAGACTGGAAGGACGTGCATGTCACTTGGCTAGTGTTTCTTTAATCTTGGTCGGTTAGAGGGCTGCTTTGTGCTTACGTCAGTTTATACCCTTGTGTATCCATATGGATGTCATTTCCATGGTTTTCAAAACAGTGTTGTCTTGCAGAGTTTCTGACTCCCATGTGAGCAAATATATTTTGAGAAGGAAAACTAGAAAAAATCTGTTGCTGTCATCGTACAAACAGCGTCATTTCTCAGGCATGCACGAAATATATGACCTTTCCCTTTCAGTTTCTGCTTGCTTTGCTGCTCCTCTGAAGTAGAAGGTGCTATGAAGGCTTGTGTTGATTTCCAGATTTAAATTGAAAACTCACTGAAAAGAGGAACAGGGTTTTTAACAAGAATGAGGTTTGGGTAACTAAAGTTAGTTATCCAAAAAAAGCTAGTTAGCAACTTCAAGTTGAACTTCATGAGCAAACTCTTACTTTTCCTGTTGTCTTGGTTATCCAACGGTTTTAACGTTGAATGCTGGCATGAAATCTGCACAGGCTTTACACTGTCCATGAAGAAAACATTGATGCAGAGGGTGAGCGTAAGTCATCAGACCAATATGCAGTTTCTCTTCTCATTTTAGGAAGGACCCACTGAAGGACCTGTGAGGTGTTCAGGATTTGGATGACTTCCTTTTTATGCTACTTTCGTTTTGGTTGGCTTTTGTGAATAAAACTGTGATTCTATATAGTCTGCTGAACAGGGGAGATGAGGCCCAATGTGTGTTAAATGCAAGGACACCTGTGTAAATTGTCTCCATCCCATTAAGTCCCTAAGGGCTGTGATAACTGTTCCCATCCTGGCATGCCTATAGGTTCTCACTAGTGTTGTTCAGGCCTTCCCTTTGGCCATGAGCTCCTTGCTCATCCTCCTGGGCATGACTCAGTGGATGGTGCTCATGTGGGCCAGTTTATCCGTCAAGGACATGGAGGGGAAACACAACACAGTTGCGCACAGTTTTGTCCTAGCCTGGCAGCTAGGCTGGTGGGCTGTTGGTTTGGAGAAACTAGCACTTGGTGCTGTACTATGTTTTTCACTGCTGTCCTCCCCTAGCCAGTGAGGAGCCCCTATGCAGATACAATTTTAGTTTTCTCCTTCCTTTAGCTCTTTCTTGCTTTTCCATTCAACTGCATTATTATTCTTCTTCCCATCTCTGTTCTTTCTTCTCCACGCTTACTCTGACTCAGCTTTGCTTCCAGAAGTGAGTTTAGGTTCCCCTGTTTCCCTCAAGCTGACCCATTCTTCCCCATGCTTCCTCCTGCCTCTACTGAAACCATCCACAACCTTTATGCTAAGCAGTCTGTGTTTAAGCATTTAATTGCTCCTCAAAACCTGAATAATTAATGGCTTTGCAGTCAGGAAGCTTAGATGGGTGCAATAGTAAGGCAGCAGTTTTGGTCAAAGATGAGGGAAAAGAAATGTCACAGCCATGCTTTTCTTACTATGATATCTCTGCCTAAACAAGTTCTCCTTTGCCTTGAAAATTAACAGTAACTGCTTTTCCTTTTCATTCATATTTAATTGGATCGTGAGAAACAAATACAAGAAAAAAGCCAAAACAAACAGCAAAACACATCGCACTCTTCTGTCTAGGTCAAAATTAAACTTCCAGCAGCTGCAAGTCTTATTTCTGCTTTATTTATTGATGTTATGTTATACATTTATTTTCTGGTTTATATGGTATGATGATTTGGCTGGGAGGTGATACTTGTTGCAAAGCCTTACTTTAGTTTTGTGAAAATCGATGAAGCAAACTTACCCTCTGTGCAGAGACCTTGTATACTTAGGCAAATTTGAATTCTCTGGTTTGTTCCCTTAATATCTCAAAAACCATGAAATGCTCTCCTTGTCCAAACTTCTGCCTTAAGTAATTTTTATTTTATCTTACTTCATCATACTTGAAGTTATTAAAAAGAGGGACATTGTACTTGCAGGCTCTAAAGTCAGAACTGGGTTTAGATCTTTCATAGGCAAGTAGGTAAATGCAAACATGGTGTATGCATGTGTGCATAGCAATTTGTCAGATATTTCTTACTCTCACTTCAATATATAATTATGTAATTAGTTTAATTAATTTTTAATTATTTTTGAGGGTTGCAAAATAAGTGGTGTACCAAACTGTTACTACATTAGCTGCCATTACATCAAATACAGCTGTAATTCCCGTTATCATTGCTAAACACCCTTTTGCTCCCACCAAAATAACACTGGCTGGAATCTGCTACTCCTTTTCTTTTTGAAGTAAACCCAGTCCAGGCAAAAATGGGGAAAAAAAGCTTGAGCTTCGTAAGAAAGATCTGAATGCATAATGTGAATGATAGTAGTATAGAAGATCTCTCAGCAGAGTGAACTATGCTTCTGGTATATGCAATGGCTTGGATGGATCGCCTCATTTCATATTTACTGTTGAACACAACAGTAATTGAGGTTTTTGTTTGGCAAGGATCCTGCTATCTGCTTTCCTGAGGACTGTTTTTTTTTCCTTTTCAGCCCCTGAAGCACATTTTGACAATTCAGGATAGTAGGGAATGCAAGTGGTTTGTTTCCTTTACAGGGCATGGTTCATCTCTGCTGCATGCAATATTGTTGTGGTATTAAGACACAAACCCTATACAGCCTAGCCCCTAGCTAGGAGGTAACCATTTCTTGTGTCTAGTCATAGCCTGCCAAGTCAGTGTTTAGGTAGCTTATGGCAGACTAGGGCAGTGTCTCTTGGTTGTCTTGTACACTGTAAGGCTGTTTACTGGGAAGCCCTATTGCTGCCTTTTATTCAGAGTTTTGCTGAATGATTTTCCTGTGGGAGATTACTTTGTCTGGAGGTACCATGACTAATGATTGCTTCACAAAGGAGGAGACAGTTGTCAGTTAGTTGATCTCCAGGCGATTTCCTTAGCAGCATTACATTGTTAATCATGCAAACAAGATATCTTTACTCTTGTTTTGGTTGAGGAACCTCTTAACTTGCACACTGTCTACAGTGCGGATGCCACTGGTGGCAAATGCTACCATTACATTGGTGCTTGAGCTAGGATTCAGGGAGCCTTCCAGAAGCAGAAGTTTAGCATCCTGGTATGAGATGTAATAGCACTTTCAGGCATGCATTCAACCATTTCTTTGTAGGTGTATGTTTTCCCAGGCAGTTATTAGGACACATTTCAGTTCCCATCCACTGACTGCCTGGGTGTCTACAGAAGCCTGAAATTCAAACAACTTCTAGGCCAACATAAATTTTGCACAGATGATTTCACAAACCTGAGGGCAGCAGCTCCCACATTTTACTAAACTCCTTATCTGCTTTGGCATTTCATCTAGGGATCAGTCATAGTAGAGGCTCTTGCGAAAGGCCATTATGCAGAGAAAATGAAAAATCTCACTTAACCCTTGGTAAACCTGCTGACAAAGTGTTCACAGAAAGAGAAACAAAGACACCCAAGGGTTAAATGACTTATCCAACACCCATTAGTGCAGCAGATACAGCTACAAACTCTGTGTCTCAGTATTTCTAGGGTGCCTCTGATCCCAGTGTTTTCATAGCCATACACTGTAGTGAAAAGTGCTGTACTTATAAAGCTTTACTGGGAGGTTTATGATGTGAGCACATAGGAAGGATTTTTGCACTGGCTCGGATGTTAAGGACATCATCATTATTCAAAGAGAGATGCAATACCTTCTCTTTTTGTGACAGATCTGATGTTAGAACATCTTGTCCTAGGATATTAATGCCTCTGTAGCCTTTAAGTGACTATGTATGCTTTGCCTTTTTAATTTGTCTTACTTCAAAATCAGTATGCAAAACTCTACATAGAATTATATTTTGCTAATATTATCTGAACCTTGGTTCAGAACATAAATGGGTGTATGTATATGTGTGAATACGTGTGTAGTCAAGTATGAATAATGTCTATGCAGAGCTGTCAGCTCACTTTCACAAGTGAATTCTTGATCTCACTTTTAGGTTCTACCCTGCTTCCCTGAGAATTGTAGGGAGAGAAATAAGCTATACCACATGGTCAACAGGCTTAAGCTCTTACAGAAAAGAGTTTTCTGAAGTCAGTCATCCTAACTGAAAAATAATCCTCTGTTTCCACTGCTTCATTTACACTCCTCTCTGTGGATTGTTAGTCAGTGTTTTTCCAGATTTGACACCATGGGTGGCTTCAGCTGCCACCTGGAGAGCAGTGGTGCTCGAGTATTTGTCATTCAGGTCAGTGTGAACATTATGGGAAAAGACCAAATTTAACTGCACCCTACAAGAATTTGGTAGCCCGCTGGCTGGGCTTATTAGACAAAGTGAAAACCTATCAAGACACAATGCTTGATTAACAGGAATCACCTCGTGCATTAGTTGTGTCTTTTCTTCAAACTAAAGGTTCTTCATTCTGGATGCGAAAAGTCATAGCCTGCTAGTAAAATACAGGTAAAATCCATGAAATTAAGACACAGATAGCTCTGATTTCATATTCTCAGTCTCCAAACTAGATCTGCTTCATTTGAACTGAGACTCATTTAATGAACAGAAATAACAAATAGCTTTAATAGCTGGAGAGAGGTTACTTTGACTAAAAACCATGATATGGATGGGGTATAGCAGCATGCAAAAGTACTCTCAGAAGGTCTGGTAGGGCTTGTTCTTAGGAACGATTGTTTTCCAGCACCTCTTTTGACCCTTTTGTTTTCTCTTTGCTGTATTGATTTCTTTCTTTGTTTTCTATCACCACTTTCTCTCTCTGAAGACCTTTCTGGTTGCAAAGAGGTGTCTTTCTTGACACTTATTTCCAATGTGGTTTTCTAAAACCAAGGTGCAGGCTGCAGTGTGATATTTCAGACCAAATCCTCCTAAGTAGCTGAGAAGATTAGTATGCATCTGGTTAGCTTTAGACAGACAAAAGTTGAACTGAATTGATAAGCAGTAAAAGCCCAGCTGGTTGACAGCAGGTAAGTCACTTTAGATTGTCTAAAGATTTGGATTTGGACTTGTGTGACAACATCAGAAATGACATTTGGCTGTGTAGACAATAAAATGCCCATATAATTAATTAAAGAAAGGAATTACATGTATTTCTGCTTGTGAAACATATAAATACCTCTTCATTTGCTATGCTTTTTGACAGCATTTGTGCTTTGGGCATAAGATGTCATGCTACTTACTTGGTTTGATTTTGGGCCAGTCTGCTGCTTCTATCCTGTGGTCTTCATACTTCTTGCCTGAATAAGCAAACAGGTAGCGGCTGATTTCTGCTCGTCCTCGCAGATTGAAGTATGTCAGCTTGTACTGAGGCATGCTGGATCCCTGAAAGGGAAGGCACCGTGTTGTTTTAGAAATGAGTAACTCAACTCCTATTTGCAAAACGGCACCGTATGCTTGTTTTTGAGACACATGCTTGTACAATGCAAAGGACATATTACAGTAAGACATCATGTGTTGTACTTTGCAATCGTTGCATTAGTCACGCCTTTTTGTTCTGCATTTGTCAACCACAATATTCGGACGTGGACAGTGGCAGTTAAACCTGCAGTTCCTCCTTGGGTATCTCCAAAGATGGTTTGAAGCTTTTGGACATAATTAAGAACTTTCAGCTTTCTTTTATTTTTCTTGTGACTCCAAATTTGGGCCATTTTTATAAAGTTGTAGAGTCCAAATCTAAAATCACATATTGTAACAGAAAATAGCTGTTGTCTTGACTATTAATTTTGCTCAAACCTGCCTTGCTCAGCCTCTGTTGAGGCTATAGAGACCTTCATCCAAGACCAGATCATAGGAATTGCCAAACTGCTGTGATTTTTCTCATTAACTATTACCCTAGTTGGATAGGCAATCAAACCAAGTTATTTTAGAAGAAAAAATTGATGTGAAAACCAGTCAACATGGTTGCTTTGGAGAAATGGTCATCAAATTCTCAGTTTCTTGTATAGAAGCCAAAAGAAAACCTGAAATGACTTTGCTGGGTTTTCATATTATTTTTTTCCCCTATAGTTCTAGTTAGGAATCATTTAACAGGAAAGCACTATTTGGCTCTTGGTGTAACAGGCAACAAAAGAAAATGTTCATGAGTTTGACTGTACAACAACAATGATGCAGGAAAGATAAACAGCTATGTCTTCTTTAAACCAAAGTAGACTTTTAAACTCTGCACACACAGCACCTTAACTAGAGAGATCTATGAGCTCAGATGAGATGTAAATGTACTGTCTAAAGGAAACTAAAACAACCATCCACCTCCTCACTGAAAGCAAAACCCTGTCTCATTTTGGCCTTAAAGTAGACCTTGCATGTCGTTTACCATCGTTTTATATCCATCAGATTCAGAGTGTTAGTAACAAAGCACGCAACACAGATCATCAGCTCCAGGAAAGAAAGGAAACTTTTTCAATGAGTAAGTGCTACTATGTAACCTTGCAATAGAAACAACCCCCTATTTAGTCATCTTGCGTTTGAAAACATATGCTTGAGGGCAGATGTATCATCAGCTTTCACTTTAGAGGCTTTTTGTTCAGAAACTGAAAAAGTTTGCACTTAACTCTTGCTGAGGAGAGCAAACTGCCTTTGCCACTTTCTCCCCTAAAGTCAAAAACATCTATTTTCCATCCTCGGAGTAGCAAAGGCAAAAAAGAAGTATCTACAGCAGATGAACGCACTGGAGACTGCTTAATTCAGAATGAAAGTTACCTGTTCCCCTACCACACACGGCAGGGTCAGAGGAGATTAGTAAATGGAGATTTTTCCAGTTGATGGCCCAGCAGAGAAGCAGAATTATCGATGGAGATATCTACAAATGCTTCAAAACAAGGACATCACTACAATTATTATTTTTCCTTTTTCTTTTCTTTAAAGTCAAGCAAGTGCATTCCTTTGCACTGTATAAAAAAGGGAAGCCACAGGCAAAATTACTTACATTAGGATGTGATTTGTTTTCTAGATATATTAGCCACCAGTTTGTGTGTTGCTTGGTAAACATAGTTTGCAGATTACAAGTGTAATCTTCCTGTCTCTAAAGAGAGAAATTTTGCAATTCCAAATTTTTCGAGCAAGTTTTAGCTAAGTGGCAAAACTTTGTTATTCTATTTTCAAATTCGGCGCCCAGATTTATTACTACTTATGCTTTATTGTACTTGCATGATAAAACTATGTATTATTATACTTTATCATTTATTTATGCAGGATGAGTTTGAATTATATGTCTACAAAGTTAATGTTAGAAGAGAGGATGAGTTTGTAGATTTTTTTTCCCCCACCATTCATCCCTAGTTCTGACTGTGTGGTCATTTGAGAGCAAGGAATGGCATTTTTAAAAGAGCATGTGTTATCTGAGGTTCAAGTTAGGCATGACTTAATGTTTGGGAGTCAAAGGGGAGAAAAAAAACCCACTTGGTTCTTACTTTTGTTTTTAGAGGCAAGCAAATACTACTGATTCAATTTGCATTTGGAGAGGATGTGACCTTTAACATGCAGAACCCACAGTGTGTGCTTTCCTTCTTTGACAAACAGCCATGGAAGTTCATTAGCAGAAAGTTGTTGACAGCTGAAAGGCATTTAGAAGCACAAAAATAAAAGGTCTCAAGGTAGAGGCATGAGGAAGGCAGTGGACAGCTACATACACAGGGAGCTGGAGGTGACTGAAGCGTAACATTTCTGGTGATGAGTATTTTGAAAGACAAGTTCTTACTGTGGGAGAACTTTGTATATGAAGACATGTATAATCAGGAGTAGTGAGATGATGTAAAGAAAAGGGAATTTTGGCTGAAGATCAGGCGGTCTTTCTGGCTGTTGTAGTAGACGGTGGAATATTTTGGTCTGTCAAGGAAGCAGTGGGAACTATTGTTTGAAACTTTTAAAGCAAAGCTAAACAAATTTCTAATGAATACGCCATAAAGAGTAATCAAATATTTGCAGTGCTGATGCACATTTAAGCTTATGGATTTTTTTTTTTTTGTCTGTGAACAAAAAGTCCTACAAGGAGTTTACCAGAAATACTTGACATTTGAAAGGTCTCTATAGCTTTATTGTAAGCATGTTTTTGTAAATGTTTGTAGGTTTTATTTTTTATTTGTATTTATTGTGAAATGTCAGGAGTAGCGCTTCCTAAACAATTACAGATACTTTTCTAAATGAAAGAAATGGTTGTGTTGGGAATAGCTTTTGGCCAAACATACAAATTCAGTTGGTGTTTTTTTCTCCTTATGCCCCTTTACTTTGTTTCCCAGTGTGTTTTGTAAATGAATGGATCATAAGGAACAAATTAAACCCATTTAAAAAAACATCCAAAATCATTCAATAATTGAAAAATGTCAAGGGGAAAAAAAAAAAAAAATCTGTTCTGAGACTTTCAGTTTGTGCTTTAGAGATTTTTTTTTTTTTTGGGGGGGGAGACCTGTGGAAACCTCAGCCCCAATTTTATGACATAGCCCCAATTTTATGACATACTTTTATGACTACTTTCAAAGCAATGTACTCAACTAATCTAAATTTGCTATTAAATTAGATTTAATACTTTAAAGTCGTTGACCTGCTTAGCTGATTTTCTAGCTTTCCTCTGCAGCTTTCTTAAAGCCAGCTTAACTGGCTTTAACATACCTTTAAACAGAAGATTATTGTAGCTTGTGATTTCATTCAACTTTTGGAGCCACTTGGTGACAAAATCAAACAGGAAAAGAGAAGGTCAAATATGTGTAAAAGGTGGCACCCTCTGTGTTACTCATGAGTCAAAATTCGGGTTGAAGTTACAAGTGTCTCAGACCTCTTAGAACAGATTTCAAATAATTTCTGTTCATGTCTTTATGGAGATACTATATAACCTGCTGCATTTGGGATACTTTCATCAATTTCAAATCAATTAGAAAACTTTAAGCAAGATTAGGGTGAAAAAACGGAGCCCAGGAAGGAACCATTATCATTCTCTGAGAACTAAAATGCTGAACTTCAGATAGCACTGATGCAGAAGAGAAAAAGCGTTGGCAGACTGGAAACTATGAATGTACCAGGGCAATATAAAAGCAAACAGTCCTGGTGCCTGCAAGCTGTGCAATACTTTAGCTTTCACTGGATGACAGCCTATGTGTCCCTGCTCTGTTTTAAAGGGTAAATCACAAGTGCGCTGCCTGCATTTTGCTTCCTCAAGGGGAGTTTATAGTGTGTGCCCAGTGCAACTGGAGCACACTGCTTCTGCCAGACAGCGTGCAATTCTGCATTCCCATCCCAAGTCTTTGCCCCATGAAAGCTGGACTTTGTAGAAGAACAGGGTTTATTTCTGTTTTGGAAAATCCAGCCCTCAAAGTAATACATGGAAATATTACTCAGGCTATTAACAGACACTGAAACCTGGATGCAGATACTCAGTACCTGAATTCAGAAAACAAAAGAAGAAGAAAGCAAAAGGCAGGACTTTCTTTAATTTTCTTGGATAAGGTTATTAATATTTGAGGGGACAGGCAGCAGAGAGCTTTTCCTTGAGCTGGGAGCAGAGGAGGAGAAACCAGCTAATTTGAGCTATTTGTTCATATCCACCCAAAGTCTGACAAAGGACCCTGTGATTCAAAGTCCCCTTTAATAGTACTTTGCACTGTGGGAAATTAAGGGTTTCCTTGCCTTAAGGTTTCATCATTGATAGAAGATTTGAAAAAGCCCAGCTGTTTTCTCTAGCAAGCAAGGCCAGTAGGGTTGGGTTAGGCTTCATCTGTGTGTCTCTAAAAACCTGGAACTCAAGCCGTCTGCCTGGAAGAGATGATGCATAGCACTGTGTGTGTACTTTTTTAATATAGAATGTGAGGGTTCTTCATTAGTTTAGGAGTCACTTATGGAAAGCACTGCAGCTAGCACCTGACACAGCGTTGCCCTGGTCATGAGCCTGCCAAAAAAGGGGAGCTGGATGTCTCGGCCGCCTAGTGTCATAATCCTCACTTGAATTGCAACCAGACCAAAATGTGGACCTTGAGGGAGCTCCATTTTCTTTCTGTGTGCTAATACAACTTTGGGCTGCATTCGTGAACTTGGGGCCTGTGGTCGGCAGCCAGGAGAATGTGCTGGACCTTGGATCTACCGGTGGAAATCCAGTGCTTGCTGTAGGGCCTTTTCTGATGAGAAAGGTGAAGAAGTCCCTCCAAGGACTAATGAGTGATGATCTGGTCAATAGATACCTCTGTGGATTTTATTACAAGATTCAGCTGTCATGCCAGTTTGGAGTGTTTGGGTTGCTGGAGCTGATGTTATACTATTGTTTTATAAAATCATGAAAACGGAATGTATAATAACAGATCATCTTCCACTCACATAAGCCTAAAGGTCTCTTACTGCCAAGAGGCATCCTGCTTTATGAAGTGTGAAACAGAGTTCATGCCCTCTCTAAGCAATAATCTAGCCAAAGCTGAAACTCTTAGTGAACATTTCTTTTCTTTTTGTTCTTAGTGCTGCTTTTAAAGCAGTTACTGTTTCTATACAAGGTGTTTCTGCAAATAGATGCATACCCAACAGCCTGAGTTGGGTATCCTGCTTCGGTGGAGAGGGAGCTGCAAGATCAGGCAATTCATGTATTTACTCGTTTATTTCTGTGGTGTCCTAGATGTCACAGGGCCTGGGAGTGTTACAGTCCATTAGGAAGCTCATTTTAGAAAGGGAAAGAAGAAAAGCTGGATGCTGTAGGGTTTGGTTTTTTCTTTGTATATACAGACAAAAGAGTCTTTACACATTATGGGAGAGTTTTTCCTTAGGCTATTAGCTCAGGATTTTTGATTCTGATCCTTAGGGATTGGGGAGAGTTGTGTTACTTTACACAGTACCAAAGAGAAAATTTTAACCAGGAGAGAGACTTATTTTGTCTTATTTAACCTGAGAAACATTAGGAATATAAAGGTCCATTTTGCCTGTCTTGTTTATTGTTTTTCTCAGATATGTGAATTCCTCATCCCTGTAATTGAAAAGCCAAGTATTAAAGCAGATTTCTCCTTCCTCAGTTAAAAAAAAAACAATGATGTTTCCCTGTCCAAGTGAGTCTTCCTGACTTCATTTTTTTAAATTTTCAGTTTTCAGAGGAAGGAAGCAGAAAGATAAGATTTAAAAGTTAAAATAGGAGGAGACAAGTGAAGGAAAGCTTCCACAGCCATAACTTTGTGAAACTTGCCGTTTTAGCAAGCTAGCAAAGAGAGAAAACGTCAATGTCCAATATTTCTTCCTTTCTATTTAACCTAACATAACGGTCAGAAAGGTTTGGGGAAAGGCATGCTTAGTCATCTTTTCCTGCTTGAGCAATGCCAAAAAGGGCTGCTGGGAAAGCAGCCTTGCCCTGTTTGCAGGGCATGGTTCAGCTCTCGCGGCTGCTGATCAAATCGGTTACTGCAGGAATACCTTAGATTTTTTTCTCTGGGGTGAAAAGTTATTCTCTCTAAAGACTCTCTGGGTTTATATTTTAGACCTAACCCCAGGGCTGAAATTCAACACAGAAATAGCCTCATATTGGCCCTTTTTGGAGAGAAAAGAATTTGATGTTAAGAAATCCATCCATGTCAGCAGGAACTAGCCATGGGCTTGCTGTTGCACCCTTCTGATTCCTCGCTTGTTAGGAAGGTTGGTGACTGCCAGGTGATGTCACTGGCTTAGTCCAAGCAGTTTATCTGGATGTAAGTAACACTAAGACAAATAACTTTTGCCTTTCCCTGGTAAAAAATAAGGGATACAGTAGGTATCTTATGTGGTATAGTCTCTGAATAGGGTAGCTAGTGACTTTGGGATTCTCATTAAGAAACAGAATTGAAGAATCAGGATGGTGCTCTCTTTTGCACAGCAGAAAGTAGAAAGGCTTATTTTCCCTTTCTCAAGCATAACCTTCTTCTTTTAACATGGAGTCAAAAATATCAGAGGCTTAAGAGATATTTTCAGCCTTTGAAAACAAAAAATGATCTTTTTTTTTTGTTTCTGTTTCTCTTCTTGCAAAAAAAGCGTTTATATTAATTCTGTTTTTATTGAAGAAAATAAGAAATGTTCTGCCCCCCTTTTGAGGGGAGATGGATTGTATTAATGTAAGACTTCGAATCTTCCAACAGAAGATTTCCAAAGCAGTCTGTGTTTTGACAGTGAATAAATTGGAAAGCTTTAGTAATTCTATCTAATTCTGGTCGGCTCTCAGTCTGAGATAAACTTTTTATGAAAAGCAATGTTCTCTTTTTCCTGCTCTGCCCCAGTTATAGAACATCTTTTAATTTGATCCCTTCTTTTTCTATGCCAGATAACAGTCTGGACCTTGGAGAGAAAAGAGAAAAAAGTCTGTATTCTCTTTTCTGTTTAATACACAAATAATCTGAAGTAAATGCTTATGAAATTTGCTGTAAGGTTGAGTTTTGAAATAACAGATCTCAGATGTAATGGTTGTGGCCTGATACTTCTAAGCATGACTTTCAAGATTAGATATGTGCACGGCTTAAAGCATGTGTATGGGGGGTTTTAGTGGGATTTTGCATGTCTTTACCCAGTTATTTGCAACTTGTGGTGCAAATCAGCCTCCTACCATGAGAAGAGGTTTTCAAGGAATTGCTGTGGATTACTGAGAAGCATTAATGATATGTCAATGTCATAGCATTAATGATATGACAAGTGACCTGATTAGTAAGCTCTACTGAATGAGCAGGGCCTTTTGAAAGCCTGATCTGTGAATGTGTGGGTTTAAAAAAGAGGGTGTGACGACCTTAGAGCAATTATCTCAGAGCTATAGAAAAATCCTTAGAGAAGACAGGGGGAAAAAAACACATTTGGGTTAAAGAGGAGGATTAGAAATAGACTTATTCTGAGAGATGTTTTTGAAGGTGAGAGTCCATTGTGACTGGACAGTGAATGGGTGGTTGCTGTCAAGACTGTTGCTGGAAGGAGAACACCAGGGTCATTTGGGTTTCTCCAAGCTGACTTCATAGCTGCTGCTCTTCATGTGAGTGCCATCAGGCAGCTGCAGTCAAAACGACAAGGATTCAGACATTTGAAGTTTACCCCAGTCATTTGAACTGAATAAGTGAGGGAGAGTGTTCACATCAGCAGCGACATGGAGGCAGAGAGGCTGTGACAGGCAGGGCTTTGTTGGGCTGCCTCGCATGCCAGGATCTTCCGTTTAGGGCTTGAGCATCTTTGATGACTTTACTTTCTGTCTGATCCTCAGTTTTTTGATTTGCAGCTACTTGGCCTTAGTTTTGTGTAAATAAGTTTTACAGTTGTTCTGTGCAGCCTCAAAAGCTGCAGTGAACTTCAAATGAATAAATTGCACACCTCAGTCTGTGAAACACTGGTAAATAAAATTGCAAGAGGAGAGAACTCAAAGATGCAGACTAAGGAGCAGTTAGGATAATATTTCAGGAGAGACTATTTAAGTCTTTTATTTTCTCATCAGGTGTTTTAATAACTCCCTGAAGTCTTTTGTGGTAGACCAAAAGCCTAAATAATCTTAACTCTTGATGACACCAGTCATTCCCATAAAACTCATGTCTTGCATCTCCCTCTGTAGTCTTCAGATAAACTGGCACTGCCTCACAATGGTCCTCCAAAGCAAAGAATGCAGCTGCGAGTGATGTTGCTGTGTGTTAAGCGGCTGCTGGTTTTGCCAACTTGCACCTTTCCTTGGATGCGAAAAAAATTAGCTCTTTTCCTATCTCATCTCAGCTATGTGCATGTGTGTATGCACAAGGGGAATACCAACACTAAAATCCTTCCTCCTGTTAGTCTAAACTACTTTGCTATGAACTGTTGCAGGTTGTGAGTCTGCTATACAACTTGTCACAAATATGCAAAATTACAGACATGAAAGAAAAAGAATTAGGTAGGTTTTTCAGCACAACATGTGTTCCCTGTAGCCAGAACAAGGCAAGATGGTGTTCACTTTGCAGAGTTCTCCAGCATCCCTCACCAGCTCTCCTGGTCACACATTCCTGATGCCCCCCTGCTCTGCCCTGCCCAGGAGGCAGCAGCACAGTGGGCTGTGGCACAGACCTCATATGTTTTCAGGTATTTTGAAGTTGTTTTCACAGCCAAAATGAGCCTGAGAAGACCCAGGACCTCTCTAAAGTGCACTTCAGACATAGCCAGTTGCCTTGAGGGTACTAGCACTGGTAAGTGTGGACCTACAGCCCTGAGCACAACCTGGCTAGAAGCCTAGGGAGTGCCTAGATTTGGCCATAAGTAGTAAACATCCAAGATCCCATGAGCTATGGGTACAGACTGCTTGGTATGTAGAGCCATAACCTATGTATCCATACTTAAGAAGAAAGCACTTTTTGAGCACCGGTTTACAGCACATTTTGCCTTTGCTCATGGAAACACTGGGCAGACTGGCTCCAGGGCAGTGCCCATTGCTGTGGGCTCCCCACCCTGCCCCAGAGTACCCTGGCACACACACAAAAAATGCTTGTTTACCTGAGGTATATGGTTACAGAGGCCAGTCTCCGGTGTCCCATATTTGTTCTTTCCTGTTGTCAAACATCAAACCATCCTTTCTGAATACCTTTCTTTGTTCTCCTTCTCTCTTTGCCACCTGTTACCCAAATCCAAAGTGTAGATGTATCTGTCTGGTATCACTGAATGTCCCTGTTTTGTCTCCTATCCCGCTTCATGCTCATGCTTTACTGAGTCATTCCAGCAAAGTTTTTAGTTACTTTTGAAGAAGTGCAAAATGGAGGTTGTTTGGTTTTGGCTTCCACCCCTCCACCCCCTCCTTGTTCCTTGTTATAGCTTATTTTATTGGAGTTTTAACAGATTGGCTCTAGATAAGCGAGGTTTCCCAAGATGATGGCACTTTAAAATATGTATGTGGGATTTGGCAGATCCTTTTTCGGTTTTTCTTCTCTCCCTGCCCCTCCTTGGACTACCTGACAAAAGGGTAAAAAAAATCACCTGAGATTTGCAGCATATATGCTGATGTGAATAAGCAAAGCTTTTAGTGGCATGGGATGCCACTTGCTAAGCCAACACCAGCAATACGTCAGTGGCTCCTAGGCAGTGTAATTACTTGTTAGTGAGATTTTGATCAAAGGTATTTTGAAAGTGAGCACTGTCTTCAATTACTTCTGCTTTCTAACTGCTTAAAAGAAGGTGATGTACGCCAGACAGCAACTAGAAACCTTAAAACCCCTAGAGCAGCAGAGTATGTTTTTCAGTAACACAGAAACCTGCTGCTTTGAAGGTGACTGGTTGACATGCTTGCGTGTGCACAAACCCAGAAGTCTAAGAATTGCTTTGTGTATATTTTTGGTTTAAAATTTGGAGAGCTTCAGTCTTATTTCTATCCAAATAGATTTGATTGTGTCTGGGTGTGTGTGCATCTGCAGCACGGACTTATTCACACTATGTATGCATCTTTAGGGAGAGGTGGGTTCTGTTTTGGATTAAAAAAACCAAAGGAATAAACAAAAGTAAACTTACAAAAGACCTCTGCATCTATTGCAGCTTTTGAGTATGAAAGAACTGGCATTTATGGACAGCTCTAAGAAGCATAGAAGTCCAGGGAAAATACTTTATAGCTGTGGCTTGTTTGCTTGGATAGTTTGAAATGGGTAATGAATAAAAGATGGCTTTTAACAGATATGTGTGCAGGAGGATTATGCACACAAGCAAATGGTGGCAGTTAGAATTTAGAGGTAAAAAAAATCATGAACAGTTACTCAGCATACCATTTTCATGTAAAAGGCTAAAATCAACAGCAAAAAAACCCTATGAGTTTTGGTAAGGCAAAAAATGGACCAAGCAGAAGCAGACTCCAGAGGTTTCCCTCTATGGGATAATGGTGGGAATTAGGACAAGAATATGTTAATCCATTGGTGAACCAAATGACAGGAATTTAGAAAATGAACAGAAGAGCACATAAAAATGACCTGGAGGAATTGTTTGGTGCTGCTTAATATAAATCTAATTCCTCTGACATTAGCCTAGATTCAGCTTGCTTATGTAAGTGAATGTATGTAACTCAGCCTTTACATCTAATAGAATATTGCTTTGAAATGGTTTTTCACTGAAAACTCCCTGCAGAATGCCAGGAGCTTCCCCACACCAACTGCTATGTTGATGAGGTTGTCTTTTTGGAAAGTGTCTCTCTGACATGTACGCTGATTATCAAAGCAGCTCAGTACTGATAGCATCAGGCACTGGTGAGAAACAGGTCTTGCTGTAACAATCAGCAAGTGATCTACCTTTTTGCCTCTAGAAAAACAGTTCATAATTTATGAAGTCTGATCTTAACAGTGCATGCGATTGTACAGATGTCTCAAGTACAGCAGGCGCTTTAAAGATGCTTGTAAGTAGAAAAGAATGTACACAGATGGGGTACTTGAGTTACATTTACAGCCACTGTGTAGAGCTCATGGTTATCCCTCTTTATGTCAGTAGCACTAGTGTGTTGGATAAACCAAGCAAAACTCTAAAAATGAAATACTCTGAGTACTTGTTCTACATGTAGCACAATTGGATGAGACTAACCCCCACGCAGCTGGTATAACAGCAGCCCCAGGGAGGGCAGAGTAGGATTAGAAGAAAAGAGAAACAGAGGAGCCAGGCTGCAGCAGTAAGAAAAGCTGAAACAGAACTCACTCTGGTGCAGTGATACGTGGTTCCTTCCTCAGTGCACAGGAGTCCCTCTGAGCGCTGGCCCTGGTGGAAAAGGCTCATATATGCTGTTTATTAATATGCAAACCACTCCCTGTGACATGGTATCATGACTCCCTCTCTCCCCCCTCTCACATGCACAGACACACACACAAAGCAAATGCATCATTCCCTCAGATAACAGCAAGCTTTGTGACTTTTTGGACTAAGTACGGCAAATTGGGTACTAGTGTTTTTCAGCTTCTGTTTAAGGGAAAGAAATACTTTTAAAAAAAAATTTAAAAAGAAGATAATAATAATAATAAAAAAAGAGATACTGAGGAGCTGATTCAGATGATGGGTGTTTTGGGGATGTTTTCAAACGTAAAAAGGGTGGAGCAAGCCAAGAAATGTCTGTAGTGTGAGACTATTTCTAACTAATGTGAAACCTTACAGTATCTGATTTAATTATAGAGCAATGCCTTAAATAACTGCAATCTCATTAAAACAGAGGAATCGGAAATGAAAACAACAACAAAAAAAGAAAATATCACTTCCAAGTCTTTGTCATACAGAACAAAATGATTTAAGGTGTTGTTTTTTTTTCTGTTATCAGTAAAGGAGAGGAAAGAGGATTCAAGCAAATTCTGTCCATGAGTAATGCACATTAGTAGTTAGAACTCTGTGATCTTACCAATTCCTATCTATCATAGATGTTGTGCTTTTTTGTTTGCTTTTTCTTTTTAAAATTCATTTGTACTTCGACGTTAAGAAAGTCCATTCAATGTTGCTGTGCTTTGCTTCCTCCTCTGTGCGCAACCAGAACACGGCAGTATTGGAGCAAAGCTTTCTGGTGATAAAGCGATAGGTCAGATGTGTACCCCACAAATGTGCTTTGCGGCCTCATTCACTTTGTATAAATAAACAGCTGCAGGCATTCTTCGGGAGTGCAGAGAGCAGCTTTACCCAAAGGACTCTTCCCTGGAATGAGGAGGTGCCAGATCCCTGTAGCTCACACCATTAATCACTTGCTGCAGGTCAACTCATTTCCATGCAGTTCATGTTTTACCCTGATGTCAATAGCTGAGTTTTCAACCAGCAACCTCTACAGCTAAGATAAAGTTTACAAAAATCTCTGAAGCGTCTTCTAATTGGGACTGGTGTAATCTGAGTTGTGAGCCAGATTACTGGGGTTTACCTTAACAGTGGCACTTCCTTGCATTTGGACTTGCCTTGGCTGCAGAATTATGCTTTAACATTCCTTCTCTTCAGTATGTCATTGCAGTGGTGGTTTTTGAGTACATCCAAAAAGGGAAGTTTCAAGTGTTTAACTAAAATTATATTTCACCAGTTTTTAATTGTTGACTGTACAGAAAGCATCCTCTATGGGGTATGACAGTTCCTTCAGGTGCATACAAACTTGAGAATTTTTTCTGATTTCATTAGCAGAAAACTGAAGCAATATTTATGATTCTCAAAAACTTTGCTCTTGGAGACAAGTAAATGGAATATGAAACAAACTTATTTTACAAATACCAAGATTTTGAGCCACTAAGAAGTTTAATTTATTTTAAGTTGGAGTAGAATGTGGAATATATTGTGGGATCCGGTTCTCAAGCTTCTAGAACAGACAGCAGTTTACTCCTACCTTGGCAAGGTCACCATACACAGTAAAGCATCAGTAAGAACATTGGTAATCTAGCTTTTACTTTTGATGTGAGGTGGCTAATGAATTGAAACTTGTACCTTCACTCCAAGAGCTCCCTTTGTAGCACGAAGCACGTATGAAGCACAAGCATTTCTTTGTGGTACAATTACACCTCAAATGTCTGGCAAGGCAGCAAAAAGCCCCTTTTCCCTTTGCCTGTAGGAAACCTTTAATGTGGATCAGGCAAAAGAGCAAAAGGGGATTTCAACCTATGGCAGGACTGCCCTGGGAATAAATTTTTAGCTTCCTATTTTGAATGTGTAAGTCAGTCCCTGCCTAGTGGAAGCCATGCTCAGGCCATGTATTGTGGGCAGATGCTATTCCCTCCCCTTGCCACTGCTCTGAGCACCTGAAGGTCTGGCAGCGAGTATAGTCATACAAACAGTGGGATTTAGGGAGGCTGTGCTCATAGCACCTATTACCCAAGAGCATAGCTCTTTACAAGATCAGGAGGTAGGTTTCTTCTCCTGAAGAAAAAGTAATTCTTCCTTTCTGCCCATTTCCGCTCAATGTGCACGTACACAATAAAATCCTGCACTTCCCAAAATGGGGAGTGATTCATGCCTGCAAGTTTAAAATAATGAAGTTAGTAATGCGCTGAACTGATTTAACCTTAGCTCACTTGTTGATGGTTAATCTCTCAATTTCTGTTGCCCTTTCAGCCTGCAACAGCTGTTGATGGCATGAAAAATTGGCTGAACTGCAGACAAGCTGGGGCTGTGTATGTTTGTTGTATGAAGCTCTTGGAGAGAAGCAGAAGATACCTTAGTAAAACTTCTGGAAGCTTTAGGCGTGGGAGAACAAACCAGTCAACATCATAATGCATTAAATAAAGCTTCTATGAAACCTGGGTGGGGAGACATCCATTCAGGTCACACATCTTCCCCTTGGACGGCAGCAGAGTCATCTTCATGGGAGGATCTTCGGTTAAACACCCGCAACTCAGTTTGCATTTTGACAGTTTGCCTCTTGGTCATGGATCAACATCTACTTTTCTTGCAGCTGCCCAAGCCCATGGACAGCTCTGTTGCATGGTGTGTCTAGAGGTTGTGTGGACTCACCAGGTCAGTGAAAGGATGTTTTCTGTGCATTGTATACAGGGACACAAAGACATTAACTAAATGGCACGTTTTCTATCTTGGTCAGAATGGAGGCTCTCTTAGTTTGAAAGCCCTGGATAAATGCAGAGGAAGTTGCATGGATTAAAATTAAATCCAAGATTTAGTTCAGCAGATGTCCCTTTCAGAGCGTTCACAGGCTATTACGGGATCAGTACGGTACAGGGCAGATCTCTTGCCTTGTGATTCCCTAAGCATTGTGGGATCATTCTGGCTGTTGACTCACAGCCAGCCCTTCGCCGCCTCTTGTTTCCCAGTTCCTGCACTAACCCTGCACTCTAGTTAATAGTTAAGCAGAAGTTTTGAAATGAGACACAGCATCTCATGCTTTTGAACTTGCTTTGTTATAAGTCCCTTAGGTGAGTGAGCTTGCTTACTGTGTGTGCCAGTAGAAACATCTGTAGCGGAAGTGTTTCCTGATGGCTTGCTTTGGGAAGACTGGGGTCCAGCTCCACCTGAGCTGAAATGGGAGTAAGTACATGACTGTGCTGCAGGCTTTTCCCTACTGGGAGGGAAATCCCAACCAGGCTTTTACAGTGAACCAACTTCCGCACTGCACATCACCATCTTATCGAGGCTGGTAACCTGTCATTAGTGCTTCTACTTGTGTGTCCAGGAGAATAAACCTACTCAAGCCGAAAGTTTCACATAAATTTAGGTACAGCTGTCATGTTCACTTCCTTAGTAATTTTCTCACCCTATCCCTGACTTTTGTTTTTTTATTTTTTATTTTTATTACAATATTACAGTGCTATTACAGATTTGACAAAATATTTAGTATAAGATACAGGAAGTGAATAACAGCTGTCATAATTTTTAAGCCCCTTAAATGAGGGATATTAGGCCTGTATTTAGAAACCTGCAAATGCAGCAAAGGTGCTTGATCTTTTATGTTTATAAAAGAGGTGGTGAATGCTCCATCCCTGGCAGTGTTCAACGCCAGGTTGGACAGAGCCTTGGGTGACATGGTCTGAGGTGAAGCATCTCTGCACATGGCAGAGGGGTTGGAATTAGAAGATCCTAAGGTACTTTCCAACCCAAACCATTCTATGATTCTATGTAATAAATCTCAGCAGTTTGCCTTCTCTTTTGGAAAGCAGTAAATTCAGACAAACCAGCTTCAGACAGCCCTAATGTTTGGCAATTGCAACTTAAGTTTACAAACAGTTTTGCTCAAAGAAATGCTGGGAGGTATTGAAAGGCCTTTTTTTTTTTTTTTCTAAGTTGACATGTTAAAAATTTTTATTGTGAGTCAGTGCTCTTGGTGCTTTTCTCGAATTTGAAATCTAACCATAAAAAAGTGAGTGTGCTTTAATAACACCATCTGTGGGAATATAACCGTGTTCTAACATTTGCAGTTTGCTTTGTTTACTATATTCTGTATTCAGAAGGGTCACAAATACATTTGAAAGAAATTATCCATTCTTAGTCAAAGGTCCTTCCAGTGTTACTATAGCTCTAGTAAAAGGCAATGTTTAATGACCAATGAGATTATTAAATAAGCAATAATGAGATTTGATTTTGAAGCAGAGAAGCTTAGCGAAGTAATCAACTACAGAGAAGCCTGCAGTTTTGGGGTTTTGAATTTAGATAATAACTTCTTTTGCTTCTGCTCCTGGCAGCAGGGAGCTTTTGTGCATAGAAGAGTGGAAAGCATCAGTTGAAAGATTCATCTTCAATTTGCTACTTGGAGAGCATAAGCAGTGAAAAGCAGACTGTTAGACACAGTTCTTCATGTTCAGAAGTGGTCTCTTGGCTTTATTCATAAGAAGTAGGGAAGTTCATGGGTGCTAGTGGTTGTATATGAAAGACCCTGATGCAAAACCTGTTGAAGCTTGCTAAGGACTTGTGCTAACTTCAGCAGGCTCTTGTCTTAGCTGCTGTTTTTGCATTTGAGAATCTGGACAAGGCCATAATGGCTCACTTAGATGAAGCACTTGGAATTACTTTTTCCAGTGCCATTGCTTCAGCATTTCATGCAAGTAATGCTTGGTCCTGAGTTAGCTAGCAGACTGTTTACTTTCTTTATCTTAGCCCTCCTACTTACGAGAAACTGGCCAAGGTCATGAAAACTTTGTTACCCTATAAAATGTATTATCCTAAAGCTTCTCTGCCTTTGCAGAGGAGCAATGACATAAGGAGTTACATGCATACAGGATATTTAAGCACAAATTCTTGATGAATTGCCAGAGAATCCATCTATTCAGAAGATGCAGTTCACCGTAGACACAGAGTAGAGGTCCTTGGTGTGTCAGCTGACAGCTAACCCATGCTCTTTTGTGGTCTTTGTTTTCCCTTACATCTTGCAGAAATTCCTTCATGAAACATTAAAAACCACATAGCCAAGTCAAGGCCAGTCAGCTGCTTTTCTTATTTCAATTAATGTTTTGTTATCGGTCTACCAAAGTGAAGTAAGAGTTAATAATCTGTGTACAAGTGAGATTTGTTCCTCATTTTATGCATGTGATCGAAGTGTTGCCTGTTGATGTTTGAATAGTTAAATCACAAGGTTTGTCCCCTTGTGGGCCCTTGCAATTGTATCACATTGCAGGAGCAACTACGTAATCAATCAGATGTGCTTTAGGAGTCTGAGAATAATCTGTGATTCACAGAAGTAGGCCAATGCAATTAGTGAAATGTTAAGCCTTGTAATGGAATGTAACATGTGCTTGTCTGCCTGATCCCATCTGCATCAGTTTCAGCCTGGATAACATTTCACAAATATGTTACTTAAAAAGCAAATATCAAAAGCTTTCAAAGAGAAGCCTTCTTAAAAACATTAGGCTGCTTCATCTCATGAATGAGTATCAGATTGTCTTGTTAGGAAGCTCCCAGGAGTCCTGAGCAGGCAAAGCACCTGGGCAAGGAGGGCACACTCCCGGTTAATACCTATGCACTGAAAGGCTGAAAGGGGAGAAATCCTTCACTTCATCCTTTTGCTATGTGAGTTTCCCCAAAAAATCATCTCCAATGCCATCCTCTGTGACTCAACAAAATGAATCATTCTGTAACACAATCACATTCAAGGAAACTAACATGGATTAGGAATAGGGTTTGAAAAATGCGTGGGATTTTTTGGTTTTGGGTTGGGTTTTTTTTTGGTTGGTTTATTGGTTGTTTTCTAAATTTTCCAGGTTATTACTGTAGAAGACCTCTTTCTTTGCATTATCTTTTGGGTCAATACAGTGTTCAGACCCGTGGGTATATCTTTCAGGGTACTTTCTTCCAGTTGCTTGAAGCTCTGGATGCAAAACTACAGGTAACCCTGCGTGGTAGGCAGCTGTGTTCCTGATTTGCCCATAGAAGGGGAAGAAGCACAAAGCTAAGTGCATGCACTTGGATGCCATTTCTAAATCTAGCCATAAATATTATAGTGCTTTATCTCTGTCTTCTGCTTGTCTGCAGTTGTTGAGGCCCAGAGGTTTTAGATGTATTAAGGCCATGTCTTTTGTTTAGTGACTTAAAGCAGAATGGAAAGGGAGCTAGCATTCGTTTGACGTTAGACAGGTGTAAACTCCAAAGCTAAACAAAAATTAACAAATACCAGGCGTGATTAGAATAAGTATCAGTCTAGAATGGGGAAAGCTCTGCAGGGAGAGCAACAGAGGTTGCCTTTAGCTTCAGACACTCCTCTCTCAGCTCCAGAGAATAGAGGGATGTCTGCCCTTTCCCTTTTTCTTAGGTGCCAGAGAGACTAAAATAGCCTTGTCAGCATGGTGCATGGGAAGATGCTTGGTAAAAATGCCATTTCCACCAGAAGCTGTCCTCTGTTCCTGCTCTGATAACCAGATGTAGAGGTAATCATGAAAAATACAATTATGAAAGCGCAGATTGAAACACTCTCTTTACACTTCTTCTGTAGAGGCAAAATGGAAGAAACACTATCTTTTCTGGTAACATGCTCATTTTAGCTTTGGGGAGATATTGGGTGCTGTTATTAAATGCCTTGGATACATTTGGGTAGAAAACATGAGTCCATCACCAGCAAACAGCCAGAGATATTTGCTCATAATGGTACAGTTCCCAAAGTGACGGAGATGGCACGGATCAAAGTGACTTTTCTGGAGGAAGTAACTTTTGGGTAAAATGATCTTACATGAAACCAATTCAATAACTGTTTTCTGTCAGTGCAAAAGTATTCATCAACTTCAGTGATTTGAACTTCAATTCCTATGAAGACCAGAGCTTGCCTTGTTGGGATTCCTGGATTTGTCATGCTTTCTCCTCAGCATAACTGAAAGTGATGTGAAATGCCTCCAGCTCTCCACAGATGATCTTTGCAAGGTCAGTATCAGTACTTTTATTGCCTCACCAAAGTCAGAATATGTTCCACCTGTTTCCTTTGCATAAGTCTGAAATTATCAAGATTCCTGTCTGGTGAGTTGTTACCAAGAGGTTTCTGGTTTTGAATGCTTGGTCCTCCATCAATCATGATACTGTGAAAATGTTTATTTCTGCCCACCCTCCTCCTCCCAGTTTTCTTTTCAGGAGATGCAGATAGCATAGCAGACTCTGAAAAACAGTAAGACTTTCAAATGGCCAATGTCCTTTAATTATTTGTTCCTCTCCTTTTTTGCATAAACTGCGTGCTTTTAAGGAGTGAAAATCAGAAGCGAGCCTCCTGTTTCTGACAGATGCTGCCGTATAATTGACTTCACACATCCAGCAAATACTGTGAGGACTGTAAAGCGGATGCATATACTTTGCTCTTAAATTTTTAGCACAGAATGTGTTAGTGACAAACTGCAGTGGTATTCACACAGCAGCTTGATCTTTGTGTTCCGGTGCCTGTACTGGAGTGTTACTATTGCACTACTTACAGGGTTAGACAAGTACAATTGGCACTTCACCAGAAAACTGTTTGGGCTTGGGTGCAAGTTGTGTTTGAAAATCCTTTGGTAACAGGAAAAATGAAAGTTAAAAGTGCACCATGTGAAAAGAACGAGTTCTGCAATGTTGTAGACATTGGTGGTTTTGTCATTGTCTACTGTGGGAAGGAAAAATACTGGGACATCGATGTAAAACATCTGATTTACTCCTACATAGTTTGGACCATTCCATCTATCCTCATAAAGTAATAGGAAAACATAAATTTCTTGAACTACAGCTATTTTGATCTCTTATCCAAAATATTTGCTGTAATCCTGAGGCTTTTGCAACATCATCTTTATCTGTGTATGTTTCTTAGCGAAAACAGATTTTTCCAAGAGCATTAAGTACCTAAGTGGTTCTTTTCTCCATGGTGGTTATTTTTTGCTTAGTTTTGGTTTTTACTGTTTTGATAACTAAGATACTCTCTAACCTACAAATTCTTGTGGAATTCTAACCTATTTAGAAATGTCTTACTGCATGGCACATGGATTGACATATTATGTTATTTTATTATAAGCATTAAAATCATGGATATACTGCTACCCATTAGTGACAGAGGCTCCTCCAAGCCCTATATGTGTTAAATAATCAGGGCACTTCTGCAGAGGACTGAAATTGAGACAGGATAATGTATCTGTCTGTTTCCTCTTTTAGTGTTTAGCTTTTCTGGAAGTCTGTGGTGAAACCACTCACCCGTTCAGACAATGTGCCCTTTTGTTCCCACTGATTCAGACAGCGGCAGGAAGAAGGGAAGGAAAGCAGGTTGCAACATGGGCTTAGAGGAGCTGACTGTGTTGTTAGGGTGGGGTTGAATATCAGATGTACACCAGACTGGATGCAGTCCCAAAGGTAAAGCAGGGGTATTTGTCCAGCCCTGTTAGGCTGTTTGTCAGGCAGTTTGCCTGCAAACAGCTTTCTCACCTCTTTATCAATCTCTTGACCTGTTTCAATGAGCAATTAGGGAGCTTTTGCTTATGCAGGTGGTGTCCTGAGTTTGTTAGAAGTCATGCAAGTCATCCTTGTCTCATTTCGATTTCAGTCTCCCTGTCGAGATTCTTCTTTCTCCTCAGGCATCAAATACCAGTTGCTCAGACATGGCATGAGATCCCTTCTTGGGGTGGCAGTTGGAGCTGGAGAAACTGTCTACACTAACAGCCAAGTGGGAGATATTTGAGAGCTCACAGGCTGAGTGTCGTGTCCTGCACAGATCCTTGCAAGAAAGCTTGCGGCCTTGGTGCATGCCTGAAAGTGAGAGAAAGACACAGCACTTAGTTGGGTACTGCTATCTCTTCTCAGATACAATTTTCTCCTTCTCTTTTACCGATTGCAGCATTCCCAGATATGAGATGATACTGTATCATTTCCTTTGGTGCTGAGTGTGAAAAACAGAGTCTCCTTTAAGTGGTGAACATTATCTGCTTCTCACTGAAGAACACTCAATCCTGACAAATGGATTTCCTGTCTTCAGGCAATAGAAAAACATTGAAGAATAAGTTCACCATGCTGCACACAACTCTTCTTCCATACTCAGGACCCTACTGAGTACTTTCTGCTTTGAAATTTCCACTTTTGTTAAGCTGGTAAACTCACTAAGTTCCTTTTAATTGGAGCCAGATTCTGCTACTATACAGTTTTTCAGTAGTACACGTCTGTTTTCCCCTAAAGAATCAGCAAAATCTTTTTTTTTACCACAGTATTGAAAGAAATGGAAGTAGCTCTGTATTCTTCATAGCTAATAAAATATTTTGCGAACTTTTGAAAGCTGTTGAGTTCAAGTAACTGAAATTAAAGTTGTACATTTAAGGAAGGCTATATATAAAAGACAAAGAGTGTTACCTGCTAACCCTTTGCAGTGCTGATTTCTTACCATGGTAAGAGTAATTCTGGCCAGAAAGGTAATGAGAAGAGTCCATAGATGATAAAATCCAAGTAGGGAGGTAAGGATCTCTTTTCTGAGTTGTCTGTGGAGATTTCTCTCCCTAGTGGAAGCTGAAGGGTGACATTTGTCTTTCCAACCTGAGATGGATCAGGGAATTCGGGACACTGCATGAGACACAGAACAGTGCTCTGGAATGAAAGTACAGTAAGTTTCTCAAGGAGTAGCTATATGTGCATGTTAGTGTTTGAAAAAAGAGAATTTTGTCACCTGTAGAAGCACAATTGTTGATTTAGTTACTCAGTGGTGCAGGAATGTATTTGCATTCTTCGGGGGGTGGGGGGTGTGTGTGTGTAAAAATTGCTGTCATGCATCCTTCAGTTTATCATAGTTTACACTTTCTCACAGGTTTATTTTATGTAGGTCCTTGTACTCCTAAGCAAAGAACTGAACCAAAAGCAATCATAGGCAATGCAAGGATTATTTATCTCTTTTAGCGCAATGAGTTGCTGGAAAGAGGATTTGCCCTTTGTATGACTTTGGTTGCAAACACTTTAGGGGACCATTAATGCTGCAGATGATGAGTTTGTTCCATTGCTGAAGCTGTCTTTGACCTCATTTCCTCATGTTACCCACCAACTAGAGGCAAATCAATAGGAACTGTTTGCAGTTACTTGTAGCCCAATAAAAACCACAGATAATGCAAAAATTGATGTTATATGTACAAGAACATAGTAATGATTTTTTTTCTGTGTGTGTATTGTTGCTGCAGATTATAGTGTTAATGTTAGAGTTTGAGTTGGAAGGGACCTCTTGAGATCTCCAAGTCCACCCCCCCTGCTCAAGCAGGGTAGCTAGAGCCAGTTGCTCAGGACCAGTTGGCTTTTACTATCTCCACAACCTCTCTGGGCAGCCTGTTCTTGTTTTTGACTCTCTTTGCAGTAAAACAAAAAGTGTATTCTTGTGTTCAGATGGAATTTCATGTGCTTTAATAATATATCCATTGCCTTTTGTCCTGTCCGTGGGCACTACTCAGCAGAGTCTGGCTCCCTTATCTTTACCCCCCTGCTCTTGGGTGTTTGTATACATTGATACATTTATATACAGCAAAGAACTTTATTCTGGAAAGAATAAGAATATTTCTGTACATCAAAGAACTTGTACATTTAGACTTGGCAGTCCTGGGGTAACAGTTGGACTTGAGGATCTTAAAGGTCTTTTCCAACCTACTTGATACTATGATTTCATGACAAGATCCCTGGAACCTTCCCTTCTCCAGGCTGAATTTCCCCAGCTCTCTCTACCTCTCCATGCACAGAAGATGCTCTAGTTCCTGAGTAAGTGACTGGCCTCACTTCAGTAAGTCCATATCTTTTTTCTGCTGGGGTGCTTGGAAATGTGTCTGGAGCTGGTGAAGGTACACTCACAAGCAGTGAGAACATAAAACTGTGGATTTGTGCTATCCTCTGGGAAAAATTTTGCTACCAAATTATGAAAATTCAGTACTTATTCCAGGAAGGTGTTGCACAATCTCAGTATCTGTAGCACTTGATGTGAACTCTTATCACTAAGCAAAAGACTTTCAAATTGTACACAGCAGAAACTTGAAAACAACCTAGCCTCTTCATGATTTAGTCTTAAAACCACTTATTCCTCAGCGGCATCCTTGCAGTGGCCAAATGGTAATGTTAATTTTTAACAAACTAAGTAAAGAAGTCTGGTCACAGATGTGAAAGCCACTGATGTTATGATCTCTCGCTATTGTTCTCCTCTTCCGCATTGGGAAACAGTCATGAAAGTGGTCTCTTTTCTGAATTTGAAATCAGTGACTATCCTTGTGGTCACAGGATGGGAGGGTTATTTAGCAAGTCCTGAATCACTCTTTGTTTCTGAAATAGTGAAGGCAGAAGCCTGGAAGCAAAGTTCCATGTTCTTATGGATGACATAAACACAGAATTTAATTCTCAGTTTATGAGTACTGCGTACAATCACCGTGACTTATAGAAGTTTATGAAAGTGCTGTTGTAAGTCGATTTGCCAGAAGAAATATTTTACCTAATTCTTAGAGATGGGTATCCTTCAGGCAAAGAGAGCAAAGACTGCTGAATAAGTAATCCAGCTGTATTTGACCTCTGTGCCGCAGAAAATTACTGGAAATTGATATTTCAATAAAAATATCTCCTAGTACCACATAGTTAAAGTCATAAAGTCAATCGAAACTATCAGTAATTTTGTGAGGCCATGTGTTTATTTGTACTATGTAGATCCTCATTCCAGAAGAGTCATAGATTACATCCTCCAGAAGATTACAATTTATCAAATTGGCATATCTAATCTTGGTTTCCAGAGTGAGATGTGTTCCTTCGGATCCTATTTTCCAATGCTTTCCAGCTTTTAGTACACTTTTATCATGGAAATTTTGCTGCCCTCCCACTCTGGGAGCCCATGTGGTAAGTAGGGCTCTACTCAATGTGCCCAACATGTCAGCCCATTGGAGAATCGGATCAGAGGCTGTATGTGAGCTGCTGGAACATGTCCTTTGAAGGCAGGTTCCCTAGCAGCAGTCAAGCATTGCAGTGTGCTTGTTGCATTCACAGGGGCGTATCTGCCACAAGTCATGTTCCCCGTCATGTGACCTCAACTTATGAAAAACCTGTTAAACTATAAAACTTGACAGAGTAAACTATAAATAAACTATAAATAATTTGGAAACTTGTGCTTTGGTGAATGATCCAGTTTTCTGTAAACATCCACTCAAATTTTCAAGTTGCTTGGAAAATGAAGTAATAATTGCAAAGCAACAAAAAGCCTCATTGTGGCTTAAATTTTTCACAAGTCCAGCATGTTATAACTGTGTTCCATGCTTAGTTTCAGTTTCTAAAATATTTCACTACACTAAAGGTGTTTCAGCTTTCAGTTCTAAGGAGGCTGTGCTCTTCTGCAGGGAAGTATGAGTGTACTGGCAAAAGGTGACACTGAGGATGGATTTATGTATGGCACTTCTCTCCTTGTCAAAGGCTGTGGAAGCAGGGCTTTTAGGCAGGCAGGAAATGCCCTCTGGCTGGTACAATTGATCGTACCACTTTGGATGATCAGGTGAAATGCATTCATGGCATTAGTTTATGTCCAATATATTGTTTTTTAAAAAATGAAACTGTTCAATATACATACTGTGTGGGGTTAGTGCAAAATACCCTGACTGCCTGCAATCTCTTGAATCTCAACATGATACATTTTATAAGTAACATATAAAATGACTAGGCAATCAAACAATTAATTGATTTTATAATGAAGCATGAAAATCTAGTAGACTTTGAGATAGATTTGAGAGAAGCTGGTGTCTGATCTGATTAAGATCAATGTTATTTTCTGCTTGTCGGAGCCCACGGGCTGCTGGTGAAGAAGTAATTAGTCTTAGTTTAGTGGGCACAGAACAGTTCGACAGATTTTGCTTAGTGATACTTGAATGACAGCACAGTCTTAGGGATCATCAATGCAATTGTTTTGATGTGGCATGACTTATATCATGGGGAGAAAAATGAGACTGTAAAAAAGTGGATGCTTTATGTTTCGATCACAGAATAAGTTCTTTGCTGAGCTGGAATGGGGAATCCATTGTGTCCTTATGGGTAGACGTATGAGAGTACATTGTTGAAATGGTAGACATCAGTAGACTCCAAATTTCTTTGGTTTTAAATCATTTCAATGCACAGCAGGTCCACAAAAATTCAAGATGCCCAACTGCTTTTGCTCTGGCATGTGTTTGTTTTGTTTGTTTGTTTTCTCTATGGTGCTTTCCATGTGAATAGTGACCTCAGAAAGATGAGTTTGTGAGGCTTCTCTACCTGGCAGGTGTTTTGCATCTAGATGTTGCCCCACGGAGTTGAGTTTGCACAATCACGATGAAGTTGAGTCATTTGTTTAAAAGATTTGTTGGATTTATAGAGTGATACAGAGAAATGTCAGCTTATGGAAGTTGCAATTGTATCACTGGGTAACAGCCTGGATGAGGAAATGTTCTTTACCTTGGACTACAAGTGTTAAAAGTGTTAATAGAAGAATTTCTAGGAGAGTAATAATTACACTCACATGATACATGTTACAAAAATCTCTGACTGAAGGAGACTATTATGAAAGCTAAGCAGAATTTGGAATTGCCCTGCACAAGAAAGTCTGGTATTTACACACAGAGCTTTGCTGATATGAAATGCTCATGTTTCAAGACTTTTTCCCAGTGAATCAAAGTCCTTAAAAATCAGGGATTTACAAATGTAGAAATGCTTTCAATGTCAACAAAATATTTTAATACTTCAGAGTTCATAAATAGCACATGACTTGAGTTAGTGAAATCTCCTAAGGCACTTTAATTTCAGTACTTACCCAGATTTTCCTATTTTGAGTGGCCTGGAGGGGAAAAGTGTCCTTAAAAAAAAATAAAAAGGCTTTTATAGATAAGCTTACCTTACTAAAATAATTTTTCTCTTTATAACCCACTTTTGTGTGACTTCCATGTATCAATCAGTTCAGATAGAGAGAAACTTGCAATGTCATCTCTGAATGAGAATATAAGTCAATATATTTCCTCTGGAGTAAAGGGAGAGGTAGTTTGTTTTGTTAACTGCCAGAAAGTAAATCATGCCAGCTGGCTCAGCAAAATTAAATACACTTACTTCTGGAGAAGCCAACCTGAAATGAGATTGTGGTTGTGTTTTTTAACTTTTCTTGTCTGTTATTTTTTTTGTTTTGTTTGGTGTTATTTATTTATTTTTCTTATTCTAAATTAAACCAGAAAAATTCCCATAAAATCTGTGCTTCCCTGGAAAATTTATTTAAAATGCATTACTGTTTGAAATAACCTCATTAGTTCTGTGATTGCACAGCATTGAAGATGTATTTAGTCCTTTACTGAGTTCTTGTTTTTAGCAAAACTTTGTTGAGTAAAGTTAACACCCATCTGCAATATCACACTGATTCTTTTTCATTGTATTACTGACTTTCTATGTTATAACTAAGACACAGTAGTAAATGTTTTAAATTTTTAGCCACAGGAGGAAAGGGAAAAATCAGCAGCATGTTAGGTATAGAAAATATTTGTGAATACATTTGGGAAGATAGCTTAAGAGAGTCCTTAAGCAGGTAAGTCAAAAGGGAAAAAGTGCTTATAGAATCAAATATGGTTGCAAAAATTAATCAATTTTAAATAATTTCTAGCATCCTTTGTTTTCTGTAAGATGTTCCTTCATGTTCATAAATTCTGCTTTTATACTTCTCACCAAAATCTACCAAAATATCCTTTCCCCCAGAATAGTGATAGGGTTTAGCAGTGCCTTTTTTAACTTCCATTAACCACAAAATTTATTTGTCAGTATAAGGACCTGTGAAAAACAGATTTTTGGAAACTAAATCTATACCCCAGGCTAACCTTGCCAGGTACCTACTTCTCATATCTTAAAGCCAAAGTTTTTTTGAAGATATTTTTGTAGCAGCATTGGTAAACCTAAAATTAGCTGCTCTCTGGCAACCTGGTTGTTAAGTGTGCTGAGTTACCACTTTAAAACAAAAATACTTTATAGCCATTAAAGAAAATTTTATAAACAAAAATAATTTCTAAGTTTTCAAAGTTTTGGCTCTAGTGCATCTTTTAACGAGCCAACTATTAAACCTGGTCAGTGGCTGTAATTTTTATGCCACAAAGGAAAAAAGCAAACAAATGTGCCTTCATCAAGGCAATTTGACTTTATATACTTTATTCTTCTTCTCAGTTCTTCCTGAGATGCATTTTGCCTACAGGCTTTTCATGAGATGTATGACATCATGAGGAAATACCATGTCCAGAAGCAATCATATGATATCGACTTATGCTTACATTTCCTTTTCCAGAGGTGACCACTTCAATTAGGTGGATGTGGAGCAGCTGTGGGAACAGATGAAAGAGTTTTGAATCCTTTGGAGAAAGCAGGAGGCTCTCCAGGTGGCACAGAGGCAGTGGTGATCTAGATGTGGGAAAATGCTTCTGCTGGGAAGGGAATGTAGAAATTGTTATACATGCCAAAACTGTCAAGACTAATAATTAGTATTAGCAGTAAGTTATGCTGTTATCATCAGATCACAGTGAAATAGTGACAGCAAATTTAACGAGATGTTTATGTAGTTAATCCTTCAGTTGACGGATGGTTTATAAAGTGCTACAGTGGTAAGGAAAATGTCATGCCTTCAATGAGGAGACTCAAATGAAATACAAAAAAGTTGGTGCATGGGTAAAATTGAGGCTGTACAATTTTGCACAGTGACACACTATGCACAGTGTTACATTCCTGTTAGAACAAAACAGTATCAGGGAGGTCTGAAGTGGGAGGCAC